TTAGTATTAGATTTATTATAAAGGTTATGTTTCCTGCGCGGGAAAAAATCGCTAAAATTTTTCTGATTGGTTATCGGGAATAAGCGCGCTTTTTTAAAACTGCGAAATAAAATTAACATAAAATAGCAAATCTAGTTAGAATTTATGATTTAATTTGGTATTACTCAGTTATTATAGAACGAAAAAGTTATCTATTACTAAAAGCAATCTATTAACCTTATCACTTTTTTGTTAGATGAATTTTATCTAATCCATTCTACTACTAGTAAACACTTTTTTCTGCTCATGTGGTATCGAAAAAGACTTCTCTAAAAAGTTCTCTAAAATAAATCTAATTATGATTATACAAAAAATTAAACAAAACAAATAGAAATTAAATAAAAATCAAACAAAAATAAAATAAAAATTAACTGAAAAAAAATTAGAAAATAATGATTAACCTTTATGGGACTGACGAGGTACCCGGGTAGCTTTTGCATTTTCAAATTGATTTTTTTCATAATTTTTAAAATCGTACCGACCTTAAGTTTTTTGACATTTCAAATATATCCATACAAAGTGTTTTTATATTATTTATAATGTACCTTTTTTATTTATTTATTCGGAAATAATAAATAAAGTTTCTTCACCCATAAAAGGCGGACAAGGTACTCGGGTACCTCTGTACATTCCATGCAGATATAAATGTATAGAAAGTTCTATTGAAAAATTATGAAAAATTTCATTAAACAATTTATATAGTACTGCACATAATTTTTTTATAAAATATGTAATTTAGTTACTATAGTTAAATAATAATATCCAAAAGAAATCGTCAACAAATTAAACATAGGTACCCAGGTACCTCGTCCATCTATAGAAGATGTTTTTTTCCTCAGTCCCACATAGGTTAATAATTAATAGTAATTATTTAACTTAGAAAATATTTCAAAGAATAAAAAAAAATACCAAACAGGATTTTTTTTGGGTATCGTTGCTATTTTTATGAATAAATAATTTCTCTTTTTATAGTGAAATTTTTTTCCTATGACAGGGAAATATTTCTATAATTCTCAGCGTGTTGTTTTTTTAACGTGTACGTAAAACTAGTACTGTTATAGACTCAGATATATAATGTTAAAATTATACATATATAGAAATACATTTACCGATGGAGTTTAGACTTTCGACCGTTTTCAATATTTTTTTTCTGAAAGGAGTTATCTTCTTAAATCCTATACATATGTATGTGGGTTAATTTTCTTCGAATCTTCAATATAAATGTGCACTTCTGCACTTTTAATGCATTTAACATATTTCTTTCATATATTTATTACGTGAACCGTTCATGAAGAGTTGATATTTACAGCTTATCTTAATTATTTCGAATGATAATAATATTCGATAGAAGGATAATCATATTTTAAAGCAAATACTTTTCATATATTCTCTTTTGAAAAAAAAAATTATTGTGCCAATTTCTAAATTTCTTTTTGGAATATATTAATTATTAAGATTAATCTTGTCAGGAAGCTTTTATAAATTCTTTAGAGAAATATATTCTAGAAGTGTTTTTTTTCAAAAGAATAAACGAATAGTTCGGATAAATGAAAAGGATATAGAAATTTTCTTTCACGATTTGTTTGCATAGCTTAGTGGTCAGCGGCATCTGTTTACATTTATCAAACCCGGGTTCGATTCCACTTACCTGTAAATATTTTCCACTTTTCCTTTTTATAGTTTTTTGTTCATTGTTATTATTTACTGTTATTTTGTACGTTTTCTCATTGTTTCCAAATTAATTTTTAAAAAAATTATCAATATTGTTTAATAACTAAATCAAAAAATTATTTTTTCAACTTAAAGTATTTATGCATTATGATATGAAATATATAACCATAAATATAAATAAGTATATAAATTAATAAATTTATATAAATATTATAATAAATATATAACCATAAATAATAAACTATAAACTATAAACAAAAATAATTAAACATGTTAGGAGACTGTCAATTAATGAACCAAAATCTCATACCCAATTAATTGATCTGTAACCCTTATAAATTTGTTCAAGTGATCTACAACGAGAGGTCGACCTTACGCATCATTTAATATAATTAATCTGCGCCTCGCGCACGCAGAGATAGTGTCGAGATTACAATTAATTAGTCAAGTAGAATCTGCAAATTAAATTCTTATATAAAAATGTAAGTTTTGTCGCATTTTAGAAAAAAATCAGAAATTTTTTAAAAATAATACTTAAAATCAATTTTGGGTGTAAAAATTAAGTTAATATTAAATAAAAATTTTTAAAAGGTATTTTATATTATAAATTTATATATTTAAATCTATATTATAAAGGATTTTTTACACTTTGAATATTATTAAATAAAAATAAATGAACAAATAAATAATACTTTTAGATACAAAATATTTAACGCGCTCCGAAGACAAAAACCTATGAAGAAAATTAATTTAAGGTTATGTTTGTGTCATTTTTACCTTAATTTAAAGTTTTTGTTCAATTTATTGCATAAAACTAAATTCATTTTTTATTAATTTTTCTAGTTGTACCGAAGATTTAAGCCAGTAATTTACATTGAGAGTTGATCCCCTTTGTTTATTTTCTTTCTTAAAAATTACAAACATAACATAATAATCTTTTTGCTTCTTAGATATATTTCTTCGGAGCGCGTCGATTTATTTACTATTCTTTATATTAATTGTTTTTTAATTATTATGAACAAAAAAATTGCTTTTGTAAACAAAAATAAATTTCCAGGATAAATAAAAATAAATTTTCAATATATATTTGTAGAATTTTAAATACAATTTTCCTTTTTTTATATAAACCATAAAAATTGAAAATAAGTCAAAAAATTGTTAAAGGGTTGAAGAATGTAGTATATGCGCACATTATCGAAGATCCTTTATAAAGTGAGAGAGGGTGAAAGAGGGTTTTGGTTATTCTATGCGGAGTCTGCGCTTCGACATGCTCTCAAAGTTTGTTTCTCGGTTAGCAGTCGATATTTTACCCCAACTGAGAGAAAATCATTTTTTTTATTCCTTCCCACATATAATAATTATGGATGTGCGCGACTTTATGTTCTTACCATCGGGTTGGAGGCAACTTTTATTATTATTTTTAACCAGGTTCGTCACGTGGACTATGTGTGCTGCTTATAATCAATGTCATCTTTCTCTTTGTCTCTCTCTCCCTCTGTCTATAATTTTTTGTACAAGATTATCATATCAATTTATCATGATAATCGTACTGAATTTTGTTTAAAAATGAAAATGAAACGAATAAAAATAACAATAATTTCAGATAAAATAACAATTTTCGGTATTTTTGTCTTTCATTCATTTTTCAATGTACTTTTTTCCATAAACATTTTTTTCCCATTGTACTGAATAAATTTTTACTATTACAATTATTGTTAGTATTATTATTGTTATTATTATTAACATTATTTTCATTATTATTATTATTACTACTATTATTATTATTACTATTAACATTTTTATTACTAGTATTATTCTTTTTATTGTTGTTGTCCCGTTTATATGCTAAATAAATTAATACATTATAAGTATTAGTATTATTATTATTATTGTCGTCCCGTTTGTATACTAAATAAATAAATTATAATTATTAATATTATAATTAATTATTAATTATTTTTTTATATTTTATAATAATTTTTTATTAATATTACTATTTTTTAATAACCCACTTTTCTATTCAATAAATTAAAAAATTTCAAACATTGAGTCAATATAATAAATTATTATTTACTCTATTGCTTTGAATTAATTTTCTATTTTTCGTTCATTGTAATTTTTTATTTAATTTTATGTTCATACGTATTGTTTCAAAATGTTTTTTTATGAAAGTCATTTATTTATAACAATTTCCTACTTTACTTGTTCTACAGTTATCAACAATTATTTTACTTGATAATTTTATCTTTTGTGTATTTTTCCTCTCATATTTTTTCTTCTTTATATTTCTATTATGTTTTTTTAATTTTTCAAAGCTATGCATTTTCAGTTATTCTTTGTCTTTCAGTTGATTTAATTTTTTTAGGAAAATATTCATAAAATCATTTGAAATAAGGACTCCTTTGTTGTCATTTCATTTTTAATTACAAAATAAACAATGCTTTTCATTAATTAATATTTTATTCGTCATTCATTCTTGATAAAAAGTATTTCTTTGTTTTGATAGCTATTTGCTTATTTTGTTCAATATTTATATTTATTTTAAAAAATACTGAGTTTTTTTATTTTGTATAATGTGTGTGGATTTAACAATGGGTTTCATTGTTTCTGTTTACCAAGAAAATGGCATTTGAAGAATAAAAATTGTCTTTCTGTTTTTTTAAATTAAGAAGAATTTTCTTTAATTTAAAAAGAATTTCTTTTAGTTTAAAAAGTTGTATTATTTTATGGAATGGTTTTCGTTTGACCTATAAAGTAAAATTTGTCATAAAGAAATAGTCGACTAGAAGTAATTTTTATATTGTTGTTGTGAAAATTTCGATTATTTTTGTTTTGTATTTTTGTGTATATAATTTACTTTCATTGTCTTTCAACTCAGCTTGAACATTACTCCTGTTTTTACTTTATAAATTGCCCTCTTTCATTTATCGCAAACCATCTACTCTATTCCCCCTTTTCTTTCTTGATTAATATTAATAAATAGCTGCACGTTTGTTCAAAAGTCCAAGTTCGATGTATTATTGAGAAAAAAAGCAAAAAATTTGTTTCCAGTGCAACAAAATTTGATTTTCATTGTTTTAAAATTATATACTTTTCGTTTAAAAATAATTTAAGTTTTTCTAAATTAGTTAAAAATATTCTTAAAAGCATGATTTGTGTTATCTTTATTTATTTTGATTATTTTGTAATTAGTAATTGTTAATTATAATTTATTATTAAGATTATTTAGAAAAATATATTGCAAAAAATATATATGTATATATTGACATTGAATTTAATTTTTTTTGCAGAAGTAGAACAAAAATGCCACCAGATGTAACAAGTACCCCAACTGAAGTGTTGCTTGAAGGCGAAACACTCGATGACATTCGTTCCTCAATGGTTAAGGATGCGTTCATAAAACAAGAAAAATACAAATTAAAAATCGTCTGGAGGAATGTCACCATTTTCTTTTTTCTCCATCTAGGCGCACTTTATGGACTTTACCTTTGTTTCACATCTGCTAAATTACTAACCACAATATTTGGTATGTATCCTAATCCTTTAAAAAATTCAAAATAAAAAATACAATAATGAACCATATTTTTACTTATTTTTATTTAAACTAATTTCATCAGAAGGTAAAATTAAAAAGTAAAAGAACAAACATTTCTCCATATTCTAAATTTGATTATTTTTGATATAATATATATACCTACATAGATGTATTAAATAGAATGTAGAAAGTTAAGGTCTCCAGACTAAAGTTTCGACCTTTCGCTTCAAAATAGAATAAAATTTTGATTTGAAATTCAATCAGATTTCGCCGTGAACTATAAGTGTATAAATGAATGTTTATTATTTAATAAGTGAATCCTACAGGATGTTAGGTAATTTAAAAAAGTTGCTAGAGAATTTATCTATTTTTTTTTCTTTTTTGAATTACGCCTAAAGGAATAAATAGAAGGGTTCACAATATAGTAGAAACATTTTAATATATTTTTTCTATAAAAATAAAATAAATAAATAAACTGATAGAAGTGAGGTATAAAAATGTTTTCGAAATCAATTTGTTTTTTTCTTTTACTTTGATCCTTTGGTTATTTTTTAAAATAATCTCAAATATCAATTCAAAGTACAATATGAAAATCGGTAAACATGATAAAAGAATGATTTTACATATTTCTATTTAATAATTAATTATCATCGTTACTTTTAAAATATTTATCAACAACATTCAAGTTTAAATTATCATATTTAATCTGCAAAAGTGTAGATTTTTGGTTGGATTAAAGTTGCTGGGTTAATTGGTAGAATGACAATGCTGTAACTATAGATATCTGTTTGATAAAATTATTTAGAGGTGGTAAAATGGGGGGTTTATTGCGTTTCTTGAGAGGTACTACAAATTACACTTTTTTGACATGTGGTTCACTTTTTCCGTTTCGTGAAATTTTCCTTTGCGCAAGAAACAGTTTGGGTTTTTAAGGAATTCATCTGCTATTTTGTGTATTCGAAGCATAAATTTAAAGATTCATGACTAATTTTTAAACCATTCGAAACTAAAAAGTTTATCACAAACTTTTCAGTTTCGAATGGTTTGAAAATTAGTCAACTGTTAGAGACAGCATCACTACAGCCTAAGTGATGCTAATGTAGTATCAGTAATGCTGCAAATGATATAATAGTTTTTGCAGATTTAATTATCTACCAAGATGATCATAGTAAAGACACCTGCAAGTCTGGACAGTCATGCACCTCTTTCTAATTGTTAGACTTTTTTGTTTGTTTGTTTCAAGAAGTTTTATCTTCTTGCATCTTTAGGTTTCCTGCTACGCAGTAGGTTCGGGGACATAGGTTGTCTTTAGGATGTCTATATGTCTGTCCAAAGAATGTTCTAAAGACATCCTAAGCCTCAAGTACGTCTTTAGGACACAAGACATCTTTGGAACTTCCTTACAGCAGCTAAGGATATTCTAAAGACATCTTATCTCTCCGTACTGAATATTGTCTCCTGCGCAATTTTATTATAATTATTTAAGATTAAGTTGTGGCTTAATTTACCAGCAATCCTTTTCATAACAAAAGGATTTATTTTCCTCTCCGCAGTTACGGCATTTTGGATTTTCTTTAATCCCCAATTTATGTCTATGATATCCCAAATTTCTGTTACCAGATACCAGTCCCGTTATGTCAGTCACTGTTTGAATTCTAGGGCCAAAGAAACAGAAACTGAATTCAAAATCAAAAAACTTAGGTCCTATCTAGCTAAAACAGGAGTTAGGGAACAATTGTTCTCTAACTCCTGTTTCAGCTAGATCATTCCCTATATAATTACTTATAAATCCCCATACCCCGTGCATTAATACCATTAGCATTATCCAATTCAAAATTTGCTCCAAAATAAAAACAGCATTTAATTATAATTCTTATGTTCCTCAACAGCGTTCGTCCTGTATCAGCTCACAGGATTGGGCATCACAGCAGGAGCACACAGATTATGGGCTCATAAATCATACAAAGCCAAATGGCAGCTTAGCTTACTGTTGACCATTCTCAACACGATGGCCTTTCAAGTAAGTCATTGAAATTTCTCTATATTATTTTTTTTCATTGCTAAAGTGTGAAAGTAAAAAAAAAGCGTAACGTTCAAAGTCTGAAGGTTCAAAATTGACAAAAATTGATTAACCCATTTTCACACAGTCGAAGAGTATTAAAGGAGACCTACTATAATATATGCAAACACTTTTAAAGTCAAATTACTTTTTCCCCATGCTGATCACGTTCTTTAAATGCAAATTAAAGATAAGATATTTACAAATACTCGTAATTACATTTTTTTCCCGAATAATTTTTATTTAGTAAAGTGATTTAAATGCGTCATACTGATGTACTTGGTAATATTTATTGCACTTTTTCCAACAATGTTTTTTTCAAATTTTTATTCACTTTCGTAAATGTTTTCTTTTGAATAGGAATTAAAATGTTTCTTTGCAATTTAGAGATTAAAGAAGTATTTTACAATTTGTGGAAATTAATGATTCTTTTTTTTAGGATGCTGCGATAGATTGGGCTAGGGATCATAGAGTGCATCATAAATACAGCGAAACTAATGCTGATCCTCATAATGCAACGAGAGGTTTCTTCTTTGCACACGTTGGTTGGCTATTGTGTCGCAAACATCCTGATGTGAGAAGTAAAGGCAAAGGAATTGATATGAGTGATTTGTACAAAGATCCAATACTCGCTTTCCAGAAAAAGTAGGTTTCAAAAACAAAGAAAACACTATATATGATATCAAAAATACTTTAGAAAACTAATTCTAATGTTTGAAATTACTATAAATATTTTGCTCTATTTTTTCAGATACTACACAATTTTAATGCCCCTGTTCTGCTTTGTGATACCAACACTTATTCCAGTATTTTTGTGGAATGAAACATGGATAAATGCCTATTTCATTCCAACAATTCTTCGTTATGTATTCACATTGAACATGACGTGGCTTGTGAATTCAGCAGCTCATCTATTCGGCAATAAACCTTACGACAGGTGAGAATGAAATACATAATATTAATTATTGCAAATGATCCAAAACTTTATTTTTAAAAGAAATGATTGACAGTAGTGAAGATAATTTAATGCGCGAAATAGAATAAGTTTTAGAGAAAAAAAGTTACGTAAAAAATGTCTTTACATGGCAAAAGTTGTCAACAACTTGTAAATTAGAGAATTTTAATTTGTGAATTGATTACATTTTCTAAATGTTTCTATTCAAGACGTAAGTGTGGAAAAAGATGGTTATTCTTTGCTGTTTCGTTCATATTCAAATTTCGTTTTTCTTTTCGAATGACTCATTTTACTTCGAGTTTGTGATCAACTATGGATTTTGAAGTTTTTAACTTTACGATCTCTAATATTTATTAATGCATTTAGCAATTTTAATGCTTTAGTAGAATTCACAATTCTGTAGAGTTATTACTTTTTAGTAAAAAAAAACGGCTAGAGCGGGTCCAAAATCGTTTTCTTAGATTAATGGCGTATTAGCTTAATGTTTATTATGACAGATTTTCGCATGACTATCGAGAACTGCGTTCCATATTTAAAATTCCCTCAATAGAGTTTCGATTTTTATTTTCTGACTTAAACTTTCTTTATCATATTCTTAACGGACATATCGATTCTCCTTCCATATTATCTCTTATTTTCTTTATCAGCGCCGATTGTTTCCACTAGAAGTGTAACCACTTTCCGTATACCCTGCCATCGTACTAATTACGGTGAGAATTGTCCACTATCACGTATTTGCAGAGAAGCAAACTTCTATAAAGATGTAGATTTTTTTGACTCTTCACCTTCTGCTCTTAAAAGACAATTGAATTTATCACGGAATGGTGCGTTTTAAATGGCATACGATACTGCTTGATGATTACATGTACTGCTTATATATGTTCTTTTATACTATTATAATTTTTTCTATTTTTTGTAAATGTAATCAAGGGTATAACTCGTTAAACTTGTAATAAATAAATGAATAATTCAGTGAACACTCGAGGTTCTTCTAGAACCTCGAGTTCTAGTATTCTAGGTATAGGATGAAAACACTGATGACATCATTTAGCAAGTTTTTTCTTTATCTTTACATAGAAAACAACTTGGGCTTCTTTTGAAGACGCAAACATATAATTGGCTTCACTGTACCTAAAACACGCAGCCGATCTACCATTTAACAAACTCATCCGAAGTAGAAAAGTATACAGAATGACTGCAAGATTTCAGCGGATTTTCAACCTACTCTTATTTTTCCAGAAAGTTCGTAGAAAGTCTGGTGGTTTAAAAGATTCAAAAATTAAGGAATAATAACAGTTTCTTATATTTTTTCAACCACTAGATTTTCTGCAGACAAGAGTCAGCTAAATGTTTGCAGACGTTTTGTGGACTTTTTTACTTGGGTTCTTATGTGGACGTTTCCTAGACACCTACTGCATCTAACTAATGTTTATCTTTTCCTGTTTGTTTGTCTGATATCCAGATTGGCTTCTCTACAAAGCTTCCCTAGCACTTCCGCATAACTATTACCTTTAGCCACCTTGACATTCATCACTGTCCCTTGCAGTGACCTTTTTACTTTTATCTTTTTGCTTGAATTCGACGCTTTGTCTACTACTTTCTCCACAGACAGTTTTGAACATTTATCCATCTGCTCCTTTTTTAAAATTCTTTGTCGACTCAGAACTGCTTCTTCTTCATTCTGAAACTCTAGAACGACGTTTCTCAACGCAATTGAATTGAATCTGTCTCTTCCGAGTCTTTGGTCCTGACGTGCCTCTTCTGCCCAGAATAAACATTGGTACAGACCTTCCTCTACATGTTTTGACCTTACTGCCTGCTTGAGTGATATCAGACTTTTAGTCCCTCCTTGATTGTCATGTTGACATTCTTTTGCACCTCGTAAGACGACAGAATATTGTTACCGTCTCTGCAATAGTTTCCAGAAATGTTGCCTCTTCATCCCTAAGCTTTATGTAAACATCCTGATCTCCATTACAGCTTCCTAAATAAAACCGTCTACAGAATGTCTTCAAACTTTCGGCGGATCTTCAGCGGACTCTTGTCCGCAGATAGTCTGATGGTTCAAGAAATATAAAATAAATGTTATCCCATAATTTTTTAATCTTTCAAAGCACCAGATTTTCTGTGGAATTTTTGGAGAGATTGGAGTCCGCAGAGAGTGTGCAGACACTCTGTAGACTCTTTACTTGGGTTGCGTTGTCAAATTGAGATGCATTGCTGAAAACAGAACTGCAAATGGCTTGATTCGTTATGCTGTTTGAACTACCTCTTCTCCTTGCTTAGTCTACAATCATCTCTGCTTACGGGTCATGGACTATTGAATTACCATCAGCACAAAATAGGTAGACAAGTTTCACTTATGTGCAGATTGTGAGAGACGTGTAATAAAACAGTGGATCACATATTTTCTGAAAGCCCAGCGTTAACAAGGATCAGATACTCTAGCTGAGGCCAAGCAATCATTGACCCTGAGCAAGTTGACAACTTATCAATAGAAGAGATACTGTACTTCTGCAAAAGAACAGGACTTTGAAGAAGTTGCATTAAAACGAGCGATCTGGAGTTTGGTACAATGGATATTAACCTAAGTGCCTACTTTCTGTCTGGGAAATCCAGTTCGAGTTCGGTTAATTAGATTAGAACCACCAGACTTTCTGCGGAATTTCTGGAGAGACAGGAGTCCACTGAAATTCCGCAAAAAGTTTGCAGACACTCTGTAGACTTTTTTACTTGGGCACCAAAACGTTGTTATCCTCCTGCATTCTTGGACCACTGGCCACCGCCCCCATGTTAAGCGCTTAACGATCAGATCCAATGAGAAATTTAGTAGAACCATTAACCCTTACTTATCTTTTGAGGGTTTTCTTCCACGCAGGCTATTTGATTTCACTTTCTAACAAAGAAATATTTATTTCCCAGGTTTATCAATCCATCTGAAAACAAAGGTGTCGCAATAATGGCATTGGGAGAAGGATGGCACAACTATCATCACGTTTTCCCGTATGACTACAAAACTGCCGAATTGGGCAACTACAGATTCAACTTCACTACAGCATTTATTGATTTCTTCGCAAGAATTGGCTGGGCATACGATTTAAAAACAATCTCAACTGACATGATCCAAAAACGTGTTGATAGGACAGGCGACGGTAGCCACGATATTTGGGGATGGGGCGACAAGGATCAACTTCCCGAAGAGCGAGAACAAACAATCATCACACATCAACCGAAATCTGACTAAAATTAATCAAGTTTCACACCTCTTGTACAATCCTAGAGCACATTAAGTAGTCAAGATTATTTTTTTTCATTAGTCTAAGTACAACAATTGTCGACTAAATCGAATTACACCATATTCTATATAGAACTGGAAGTTCTTTTTCCCCTAAAGAATTTACGAATGGCACGTAAATGTGATATAACATTTTTCCCTATATTTGTTATTGTTGTTGTAAAAATTTAAAAAAAAAACTGAGAGAGAGTTTGTGCCAAAAGAAAATAGTCTCTGTATTTGTTAAACTAACATAAGTTGCGCACTTTAAATCACTAATAGTATTCCAATTAATATTACTCTTCAAATGAAACATATTGATAATAAAAGAAAAATATGTAAATTTGTATAAAGATAAAATCTAAGAAATTTGTCCAATTTTTTGTTACATTATTCATTGTAAATATTTCCAATATTTTTCTGTAACTTTTGACGAGTTTAATTTTTCCTTTTTTGTATTTATAGGACATTTTTTAAATGAAAAGTGTACAACTTTTTTTGTAATTTTCTTTCTTCTTCGTTTAGATGTAAAGAAAAGAGGAAATAAAATTACAAAATTATTTCTAGTTCCAGTTCTTTATAATCTAAGGTGATATTCGTTCTTTGTAAATGTCACGCGTTTAATTCTATGTCCAAGAATTAAACAAAAATATAATATTTAATAATCAAAATACGAGAGTAAAAGGCAATGAAACATAAAATAAAATATACTGCGTCAGAGGCTTGACACATTCACTGTTAACTATAGTAAAAAAAATTTTAAGGGAAACAAGAAAAATTTTTTGATCCCTTCAAATTTTGTAACATTTTGCAAGACTGCGGGCACTTTATATAACTTTATCGCGTTCTATCCGTTTCTTCCTAATTCCCGCCCCTCGTCTTTTTTATCCCTTTGCACGCAAATTTTCAATCTTTTTCTATATTTCTACTGGTGTCTGTCCTTTTCTACGGTTTCAGATTTAACACTTTGCGGTGAAACATATTTCTAAAAATGCAGAATTCTTAATTATAATTTTATTATTAAATTAAAAACTGAAAAATTTCAATTACTTTCATTTAAATTACATTCTTTTCAGAAAAGAAAAAATTGACACTTTTAGAATTGTAATGAAATGTATTGTAAAAAATACGCAAAGGGTTAATATGTGAAAAAAATATGAAATCAATGATATTAAGTAAGTCATCTGCTCGCAGACTGCTCTTGCTCCATAATTTTCATTATGGTTAGAAGTTAATTAACGACAATTTAAATTTTTTGCACTTTTTTTATCTACACTTTTTTTTCTAATATTTATTGCTCTGATGAATCGAAAAAAAACGGTGGAAAAAAATAGATTCGTCAAATTAATGCGAAAGGACAATTATTTTTCCACATTCAAGAGAAATTTAAATTTAAGTATCGAAAAATTTAGGTGGTGATATATATAATTTTAAAATAGGAGTGAACCGAAATATTAAGGTGGAAATGGTATGAAAATTCCAATAATTTATATATTTAAATAACAAAAAGAAAAAGAGAATATTATTGTAAAAAAAACATTTTCTTATAAACTCCAATTTAAAAAAAGAATTCTTTTACAGAGACTATTCGCGTAAGTTACCTTGTACCTGTAAAGTTCTTGATATTTGGTTTAAAAAAATAAAATTTTTTGACATTTTTCAAATTATAAAAAGAATTTTCTTATTTTTCACAAAACGCGAATATTTAGTAGCAGAAGAACGAAAGAAAATTTTTGAGACAAAAAAAACTAACTTTTTGAATTGAAAGGATTATTTAATGAAACTTGATTAAACATAAAATGGTGAAAAAGCGAAAAGAATTTCTTATTGCTGGTCGGTAAGGTGGTCTTTTCAATGTTTACATTCGTTTACATAATAATTATATTTTTAAAAATGTTACTATCAAAGTATCAAACACTTGCTGTATTTATAAAGTGCGAAACAATTTAAAAATAAAAAAAATTATAGACATTGCTGCATCACTTAAATGGTGTATTCTACAAGAATTAAAAAAAATGGAATTTGTTTACTGTACGTCCAGAAAATTGTTTAATAAAACCATGTATTTTAAAATAAATAAAATTTTGACTCGAATTATTTTTCATTATAAACATGATCACTAATCCTTAATATCATTATCATCATCATCATCATCATCATCATCATCATCATCATCATCATCATCATCATCATCTCCTTCTTCTACAAATTTGCGAATACAATTTTTGTCAGTATTTAGTTTCTATCCATTCAGATTCTGAACTATTGGCACGCCAACTTTAACTGTTTTTCGTCTTTTAAATATTAATTTCAAGAAATTATAAATAAAGAAATAATTAAGTGAAGATAGAATGCAAACTAAGCATTCGAATTCAAAACATAATGTTCCTAATATTATTAAAGAATCAAATTACTTTGAGGAATTAGTGTATTGAACATCCCCATTAATACAAAATATCTTTTAATCTCTTGGTATTATTGCAAATCTTAAAAATTAATGATGATAACGTAAAGCTGCTTTCTGTGCTTCTTCATCTGCAATGGTCTTCAATGTGTCCCAACATTCAGTGGAAGACTTCTTTTTACCGGCAGCCATAAATAATACATCTTGAACAGCTTGACACGATACGGTTTTCAATGCTGATATCAGTCCCATGGGTTCCCACATTCTAATAGCAAACGTCGTCCATCCTTTGTCGTATCCTCCGAATTCGCCTGTTTTCCAATCCCAAGGCAGCAGATAATGGTAATTTGGCCAGTATGATTTGTTAATTATAAATATCGAATTGTCATCAACCGGAAATCTAAAATTTGTTATAAACTCGTAAGTACAGTATCTAGAAATAATAGGAAAACAACAATTATCCGCCACCTATTAGTAAAAAGTAAACTATGCTACAATGCGAATTATAATTTCCCCTAAGATGTTTTAAAGATATCCTAAGAACGTCTTAAAATATTTAGGATAACTCTAATGTCTCTTGAACATGAAAAAGATTACCATAAGTGGGATGATCTATTTATACCCTAAAGACGTCTTTCGTATATCTCCAGAGCGTATTTAGAATAATCTGTATGAGTTATGTTTGAAACGTTTTTAGGATTTACTTTGAACGTATTTTCGAAATCCATATAGGATGACTTTTAAAAGACTATTTTAGGATGCCCTTTAGGTATCTCCAGAAATTTTCTCAAAAAAAGAATCCAGTAAAAAAGGCAGAATTTTCGGTGAGTTTACCCCAATACGTTTTCGCATGAAAACCGTATTGGGGGATTCGGTCAATTATGTCCTCTTGAAACTTTCGATTTCACGTTTATTGATCGACTCGACTGTGTACTGTCTTGGTACTGTCGATCTAATACCATATGATTTAGGGAGCTTTCGACGTTCGTGGGAAACTCACCGCCAATTCTATTCGCTCACAGCCAATTCTTCTTTTTTTTCTGGGAAAAGAGACCTTTTGTTATGTGTCAGACTTTCGATATGATGCTGACCATTCTAGAAGTAACTGCATCTTTAGGCTGTAGTGCTATAATTTTTGACGCGTGACAGCCCAAAAATTTGGCAGCTATTAACCAAACGTTGCGTACCCACTATTTTGGTGAAATGCTTACTTAAATTTTAGACGACTGTCCAAAAGTAATGCTGACTTATTATTGTAGTGTAACTATACGATAATAATAAGTCAGCATTGCACCAAAACCATAGTGACACTACTGTCACCTGCGTAGTTTCACTGCAGACAAAAAATCTCTCAAGTTATCCCACTTAATTTGGTGACCACTGGGAGTAATAAGAAACTTTTCTAGATAATGTGAAGAATAGAACACTTGGTAAAGTTCGCAAAATAAAATCAACAAAGAATCTTAAAATCTTTTTGTATTATAAGTTCGATTTAAATATAAGACAAAGTTTCTTTTTCGAAAATATTTACAAAATGGAAAAGAGAATTGTAAATATATAAATCATCGAATGATGAATTTGGTTTCTAATTCTTCACCTTATTTAATTACTACACACGCCATCACCATTGATGATGACGGTGCCATGACTCTTGGGCATTTTAAAGAAAAGAGTGTATAAAAGATGCATAGTATCGAAAATGGATATTAACTTGTCTCCTGGCTTGAGCCCCCAGATGAGCATAGCACTATTCACTAAACAGGATATTTGATAGGAAACAGCCAAGCGTAGAAATCCAAGAATAAAAATAGAATTCATTATAGATTCTTCCCAATATTCAGCAGGAGCATTCATCGGAAGCAGCAAGCCCAAGAACGGAAACAATATCCAGTATAATCTGAAAATTAAAAAATATTAGTATTACGAGTTATTAAGAAAGTAATAATAGTACATTGTGACGTCAAGAAATTACGAATTAATTAATTTTACATTGGGAAATTTGCGAATTATTAAGTCTTGTAACGTGATTAGAAAACAGTGGATTTAGTGCAATTACAATTACAGGTGTTGCGAAACGAGAAAGATCATCACCCGTTAGCGGAGTATCCAAACTAGGAGGGTGTAACCTGGGTCCATTAGAACTAAAGCCCGAATTGTATCGTACTTAACGACCACCGAAAAGATACGGCTAGCGAGTAGAAAAACTCTTCAGAAAGAACTGAATTTCTTTTGACGGGATGCTACCAGAGAGAATTAAAAATTTCCTCCACAGATGCTAGCACTACATGATAGACGGTGCCTAGATTGCAAGAAGACTGGTGCACATAATAATACCCCATCGCAATATTGGGCCCTCGCTGAGGTTCGAAACAAGTGTAATGCGTTCAAATTATTTTTATAAAGCACTCTTACGACACGCTATGGTTTGAGCATTAACTATATTCTCTTTGCCAGCTAAAGACAACCTTGCAGTTAGTGAACCCCATTCGAATCAACGACGCTAAGAGCAGGCGTTCAAACTTAGGTATCCCGGGTTCGTTAGGCCCGCCGGAGAAAACACGTTCACCCGCCTAGGGAGTCAAATCAATATTAGACTTGGCAGACCGACATTACAATGGGTACTGCCCATAATCATCGGTATACTATTGCTCTACGAGAAAGCCATGGCTAGCCGTAAGTAGCAACAATAAATTTGAGTATAATATAAGTAAAGCGTTTTTCTGCATTCTTCGCGGATTATACATTTCAGTAGCCTCGTTGGCAAGTCCTTTTGGAATATTTCTCGTTGCCTCATCGTCTTAACATCAACGGTTATTTTGGCGGGAATTTTCACACCTCGAGAAGTGGTGCTTCGTTGTTTATTGATGTTATTTTTTAATGGTTTGAGTTAGCGGTTGTTTGAAAGGAAAGTGTATTAATGCTCGGGCTTGATGCTAATTTAATTTATTATTAAATAAAAGTTTGGTCGCAATCTTATGATTCCCTCTCACTAAAGGACATCTAAACAGTAAAAATAAATGGATTCTACAAATTCAGAGTCGGTTCTTTGACTGGTGTTCAAGTACGCACGGATTGTGGGAGCGCATTCCAAGTGTCAAAGAGTGTGTGTCAAAGAGCTGTAAAATTATATTTAACGCATTTAAATTAGAAAAAGTTTGTTTAGATATTTGTTGCATTAAATTAACGAAAGTGGAAAATAAATATATTTATAAATTCAGCTTAAAGTGTATGATTTTTTAGTTACTTTTTTTTGGTAGATGATATATTAAATTATTCAAATATTTATTCTAACTATACTTTCTAAACAAATACTGCATGAATTACTAGATTAATTACTGAAAATCCAGTATATATTCCCCTTTAAGCAAGAAGAAATAAAATTTTATATGTATGTACTCATATATAATCTTACACACGCATGCGTCGACCTTCCCAGCTGTTGAGTGTCATGGCGACCATGGTCGCCATGTGTGTGTTTTGCAGTGTGTGATTATAAGTGTTGCTGTTTAATATGATTAACTTTCACATTTTTATAGTTTCTTGTAAATGTCTTTAACCAATAATGATTTTTCAACTCTTTAAAGCTCTAATTATTTTTCAACATATTACTATTTCTCACGTAGCATATCCCGTGTGGAGAATATTTGAATATCCCGCGCGAGTCTCCCAAGGGATGGAAATTTGGATATCCCAGGGATATCTCTGAGATGTCACAAATATCCCAGGGATGGCCCCGGGATATCTCAATATCCCGCAGATATCTCTAGGATATCCCTGGGATATCCTTTTGCTCAGAGGGTAGAGACTTTTAATTAGAGTTTTTAGCACTACAAATTGTTCTGGATTCCCAGTAATCATACAAACTGGCTAAATTAAATAAATTTGACAGCATTACTAATAGTTGCAGAATTGCATTAACTATTTGGAATCAATTATATTTATTTATTTATACACTCGTCTTTTTGCCTTAATACTAGCGTTTACAAGTGTCCCCGAGGAAATTTTCTTACATAGGGGAGAGTCTCCAGTTGTGAGACGGGTTTTATTTTTGGCCCGCAAATTGTAAACGGGTAAACGAAATTGTAAATAAAATACACCGTTCGAAAGGTAACAGAAATACGCAACTTTTATTAAAAGAAAGTGTAGTGTTTCGATGAACTCAAAAAATTTTACGATACATTTTCCGAGCATATCGCTTTTGTCAAAAAAAAAAAAATGTCTCCAGTTGTGAGACACTCATTAAAAACTGCTAAAATTTAATAAGTTTGACATAAAACGTTATGTTTAGTAGAAATAATTAAATATATTAATAATATTATATATTATTATATACTAAATAATAATATTTATTCGACAAAATATGACTATCAAATAAACACAATTTAATAGCTTTAACAAGAGCATTAAAATTGATTTCTTCTGAATCAATTGACTTTTTTCCACTTGACATGCCCAAAAATACTAGAAAAAAAATCAAAACAACATTTAAATAGTATGCCTGCAAAGTTGTATTTTTTATGATGCCCAGATGGGTGTTGACACCGTCTCACAACTGGTATGCTGTGTCTCACACCCAGAAATTGGCGCTATTTTGAAAAAGGAAAATTAAATTATTTTCAACCGTAGATTGGAACAATGCAATATTGCATCACAAAATATAAGGAAAACACTAGAAGAAAATGCATTACATTTACCATTTCCAATTAATTAACTATTGGAAAAAAGTACTTTGCATTTATTGAAAAAACGCTTTTTAGTTGATTATCACATACAGTGTTGGTATTTAACAAAACCAGTTTATATATCCGCTTCGGCGTACACGAAAAAGTTGGCTCATATAAAAAGAAATGTTTTTATATAAACCAATCGGCTTTTTAATATTGCATGTTAAAAAAAATTTACTGTCTCACAACTGGAGGTGTCTCACAACTGGAGACTCTCCCCTACTATAAACTTATTCTAAATTTTTGCGCCCACAGAACGACTTGAAAATTAGGAGTACTCGCATTTGCCTGGACCACCCGTCTAATGGGTTTTCTCTCCAGTGGAGAGGGAAACTGTAGAAAACCTCTCCTGAGTACAACCGGTTTATCGACAGTCGAGTTCTAATGATGTGTACCGGACAATAATCGACATGTACATCATTATACCTCGACGTCAAACCTCCCGCTCAGATTGTCTCACGTGCTGGAAAAATACCAAGCCAAATAAGCGCGAACCAACTACCCTTGGTCCTAAAACGTCCGCCAAGCGAGGCATCTATCCGACTGAGCTAATCTGTCGGTTGGAATCAATTAATTATACATCATAATTAATTTCCTAAAACATGCACATAACGAATTGTAGGTTCTAGTATGTTTCCGAAGAACAATCGTAGTGGATTTATCGGAGGGAATTAGTTACGTAGTCCAATTAAATGATTTTGTATGGTTAATAGGATTCCGGAACAATTTATAGTATTCCAAACTGTAATTGATAGTTACTGATTAGTATTTAGGGAAATATTTTGCTTGTCTAATTAGGTATTTCCAAATGTTTGATGTAATAGAGCAACACTGAATTGTATGATTTAATATGATAACAAATTGTTTTGGAATCTGAGTAGTGATCTGGAATTAATTAATTCAACAAAGTAGATAATTCTCTACTACAAATGGTCACCGAATTCTAAGTTGAATAAACCTAATAGCAAACAGTACAAACACGGATTTGTATACCAAACGTTTAAAAAAAATTAATTGGACTACGTTATTAATTCGCTAATACAAGTCGGCGATGATTAATTGAAGTTTACAACACTAAAAACAGTTCCGGAATACCAGTAACTACTTAGAATCAATTAACTGGACAAGATAGGTAATTATACCCTCAGACATTATACACTACGAACTACTTGCACTGAATGGTGCAAGGTATGGTCACAAGGTGTCACAGGTGCCTTGACTATGACCATATAGGTCGAGATTGCCAAGCAGTAAATACGTCGGCTGCGTGCTTCAAGTACGGACAAGCCGGCCATAAGGTAGCAGATTGCAAGACGAGCCCATGCTGCTTTTTATGCCAGGCGAAGTTCGTCGAAAAGTAGAATATCCAACATGTCGCTGGATCGGAAAGATGCAGAGTCTTCAGAACTGCCCTAGAGGAAGGCTTTGTCAAGGAAAAGGAGAAAATAAGGCTAGAACAAGAGCGGCACGGAAGCGTCAGCGGCTAAAGGGAGCATTCTTCTGCGAAGTCTGAAGCCAAAAGGTAGTTCCGTAAGTGGATAGAAAGTTCAGTATACAGGTATAGTCCTGCATGAATCAATTTATAGTAAATTGGTTCTCTATAAAAAATTTTAATGTTATCATAAACCTTCCAATTGAAGCAATTCGGTTGTAATGTTTATGTTAACAACCTTTGCAGAGCGCAAAAAAGTGCAAATCGGCAACAAATTGTTGTAGGTTATTAAACCTGAAGCAAACAATTAAATACGGCGAGGGAGTTGCAATATTCATCAGAACATAATTAATTAGACTTCATAGATGATTTCCGAATGCAAATTGACTCAATTAATTATGTTTCATAGTACAAATGATAGTTTCGAAATTGCATTAAATATGTGGAAGCATTTAATTGTATAACACAATTTCCTTTGTTTCGGAATCTCAGCTGATACCTAGAAATAATAAATTTAACAAAGCAGATAATTTTCATCTATACTACAAATTGACACCGAATTGTAAGTTGAATAAACCTAATAGCAAACAGTCCAAACACAGAATTGTAGCAAACGTTTGAAAATAATTAATTGGACTATTATTATTATACTATTATTAATTCGTTAAAAATTGTTGATGATTACTTAAAGTTTACGACACTGAGAACAGTTCCGGAATACCAGTAACTACTTAAAATCAATTAACCAGAGAAGGTGGGTAATTAATTGGATTGCACAGGTAATTTTTAGTACACATTGGCACCGAATTGTTATTGTCGATTAATACTAAATTAAAACAGTGCAGTCTCTGTATTGCATCAAACATCTAGAAATAATTAGTTGGACTACGTAAATATTTCCCTTATATACAAATAGACGTCTTTTGATTAAAGTTTGTTAAACTACAAATAGTTCTGGAATATCAACATTTAGAAATAGTTATTCGGATAATGCTGATAATAGATAATTATCTAAGGCTAACGGACATTGTTTTATTTATGTTCATGATATTACAGATAATCTCGAAAATGCAGTAACCATTTTGAAATAATAAATTCAACAACGTAGGTAATTGTTAATTATAGACCGTCACTGAATTATTAGTCATTATTATACAGCTAAAAGCTGTCAATGTTTTAATTGATAATATTTACTGTTGCGAAATTGTCAGAATGCACAAAATTGAGTAATTGACTAATTCGTTTATCAAAGTTAATAAGTTATTCATAATCATTTTTTAGACATACCTTCTCTGTATCCACACATATCCATCTACCTCAATAATCCGCATGTCAATATCCTTTTCAACCTTTTTTCTTTCGGGAGTTTCAGTCATTAAGTTACTAAATACATGGCTGTACAAAAATCCTTTATTGTGATCATATGGATCATTTTCCGTTCCATAAAACTTATGATGTATCTTGTGTGATAATACCCAATCATAAATAGGACCCTATTAAAAAAATGTTTAATAATTATTATTAGAAATTTACAGAATGAAATAAGTTTAAGGATTAACACCGTATGCTTTTCACATGTTTCTTTAATTGCTTTATTGCATTATTTATTTGTGGTGCGTTGTTTGTGTAAAAAGATTTGGTGTTCATCTACAGGATTTTTTGGAAAATTGTTAATTTTTTCCTGATGCTGCAATTTTGTTTTGCCACTAATGTTGGTGATTCAAATTTTCGTCATTGAATTGTTTTCATTATTAGTATTAATGAATAAATTGAATAGAGGACATACCACACCGGCAAGTGTGTGACATAACATTAGAAACAGTCTTATTGCTCCCGAAGCCTCAAAAGCCTCATGGGCCCAAAATCTGTGAGCTCCTGCAGTTATTCCCAATCCAGCAAGGCTCATAACAACAACAGCTATCAAAAAATATGAGAACTTATTTTCATGTAACTGTTTATATTTTACTATCACCTATTTAATTATTGCTGTATGGCAAATATTTAATTAAAAAATTTGTATCCTACCGTATATTACAGTCAACCATTTAGCTTGTGTAACTAGAAGATAGAATCCATACATTCCAAGCACCTGAAGATGAATAAACCACAGAACAGAGACCCATTTAAATTCTTGTTTCTTTACTTTTACATTTTCTTCCGGCATTTTGAATTTTAAGTAAATCCTCACTGTATGCCTGGGTTTTTTCACTGATTCTCAAAATTTTTCACTTATTTACTTTTAAGTAAAAATCTTATAGTTAAAAAAAGGATGAAGAAACTTATATTGTTTTTCACTGAATGAATTCTAACGTATCCAATTTATCTGTTCGAGACGAAAGTTTGAAAAAGACTGAAAAGTCTTCCATGCATTCAACAAAAATAATTCATTTAACCCTGCAACCTTAGAAATGAATATCATTAATTTCTACATTGTCATTTCCTTTTGGTCACATATTAAAAAGACAAGAGGTATCGATTGTCTATTATGCAATTTGTAATTTAAATAAATTTTTGTTCTTCAAAAGTTCAAGATTTTATCAAATTTTAAAAATTCGACTTCATTGAGATTTATAAAATATTTAAATTGTAACCATGCAGTATCGGTACAGAACTATTTTTGTAAGTTCTTTATTTGCGTAAATTAAAATTATTTAATATTGATATGAACAAAATTCATTTTTAATTTTACTTTAATTTATACTTATTTTAATAACATAGAATTTATAAAAACTGTTTTTATATACAATTCTTAAAATTCATATTCATGTGAACTCAAATGATGTCACTGTGCGTTCAATTTGAATAAGTGAATCGATTTTACAAATACGATAAAAATCGGGTATGTAGGAAACCTATAAATAAACCACTGTTTCTATTTTTTAAATATTCATTTTTATTTTTAAGTTTCCTGTTAACATAATTTCTACTTAAGTTTACAAATTACTCTTTCAACTTTCAAACTAGAAGTATATATTGTACCTTTTTTTAAATTCACATGCACATTATTATTGGTTTTTATATTGAGCATGAAAATTTGACATAAGGTTTTTTAACATAATTGCTATTAGGTAATTTCTATATAGTAGAATCAACGATATATTTGAAAATATAAAATAATCGACTATAAACTTTGACATTTGTATTAAGAAATGTAAACGTTCAAAAAATATTCTTCAACTTCATAAACTTTAATTTATATATATATATACATATAACTAGAGGTGAAGTTCATAAAGTGAAAATATCACTTCATTTGTACATCGCCAATAATCTCTTTCTCATTCGTAAAAATTTGTGTGATAAAATATTTAAAGAAATTCAACGGCACTTGAGGAATATTAATCAGTGTTACATTAAAATTAATATTCATAAGGCACACGAAATTATATATTACTTGAAATTTTAAACGTTTTAAGGAACAATTTTTTTTTATTTTTGTTCTTTTTTTCCCTTTCTCAAAAAAAATAAAATCATTTTCTTCTGTTTTCATAAATTTTCAAAACTTTAGAAAACATGAAAATAATTCTATACAAACAAATATGAAAAGTCTCAAATAATTGTTTTCCATTTGGTAATTATTTTGTATGCATAAAGTTGATATTGTTTTAATATATCTATTTCACAAACTTGAAGTAGGCGCGAAGTTGTAAAAATTTGGCTAAAAATCCAAAGATGTAAAATTTTTCCAAAAATTTGTAAATTTCTATTCTTATAGACAAAATATATGGAAGAAAATATGGAACATTTAGCTAACGAACTTAATAAATCTATTATGTAAATTAAAAATTAGCAAAAAAAAATAATAAAATAGATAAATCATATACTGACCGTAAATATCACAAAATAAACATTCATGACATAAATCTTGACAAATAACCAAAGACAAAATTGCTGAGGTTCATTTTTTTAAAACAGAAGAAGACTAACTACTAAAAGTAGTTTTCAAGTCGCAAGAACATTGGACGTTTTTTGTTTCTAATACATAATAATCAGTCTCTGAGTTTAATTATTTTTTCTTTCCATCTTTTTGAGTTCGCAAAAGTCTTCCTTTGGCATGTCACGATCACCAAAACCCCATATTTGACTCTCGTGACTGCCATCGCCACATTTATCTGCTCTTCGTTTCACCATTTCTGGCGAGACACTCTTGAGATCGTAGGCCCAACCGATTTTTTCGAAGAAATCGATAAAACCCGTCGTCCAATTGAAGGAATAATTACCAAGTTCACCAGTTTTATAGTCGAAGGGAAAGACATGGTGATAATTGTGCCAACCTTCACCAAGTGCTGCTAGCGATACTGCAATATTCTCGACGGGAGAAATATTTCTGGAATAATATTTATTTATCAGTGTTGAGAAAAATAGAATTTCAGGTAATAATTCCAGATAGTTTGTAATTTTGCAGAAATTTTGCGGCAAGCTTACTGGAACTTTTTGTAAGTTTTGCAAGCTTGCCGAAAGATTACTACAACACACGTGGAAATGGAAGTATGGGTAGAAAATGGCAAACTATGGGTAAAGGATGTCGAAATATGGCACTAAATTTGGCAAAGTATGGCAAAGTATTTCTAATGAGTGAATCCCATGTTTAAAGAATGACGATAAGAAAAATTAATTTTATATTAAATTCACTAAAATAAACACAAAACCTTTCAATTTTTTTATTTTTGAACCATGGGCAAAGTATGACAAAGCAGGGAAGAGGAAAAAGACGTTTTCTTAGTTTTTAAAAATTATTATCAAAATTTGGAACTTTAGCAAAGTATGGCTAACCATGAAAAAAAACTATTTTTTTATATTTTCAAACTATGAACAAATTATGGCGAACCATGGGAAGAAACAATTTTTTAAAACCATGAGCAACGTATGAAGAACCATGGGAAGAAAAAAATCTATTTTTTTATATTTTCAAATTATAAGCAAAGTATTTAGAACCATGGAAAGAAGGAAAACTATTATTTTTATACCTACTATTATTTTTATATATTCATACTTCTTTCCATGGTTTTGTCATACTTTGCCCACAGTTCAAAACTTTGTTTAAAAGTTTAAAAAAAACTGTTTTTCTTCTCCCTATGCTTTGTCATACTTTGTCCATGGTTTAAAAATTGAAAAAATTGAAAGGTCTTGTTGTTTATATCAGTTGATTTAATGAAAAATTAATTTTTGTTGTCACCATTTTTTAACCATGGGACTCGTTTATTAGCAGTTCTATACCATACTTTGTCAAAATTTGTGCCATGTTTAATATTTTATTATTTACTATTTAATATTTATGTAGTGCCCATCTTTTACCCATACATTAATTGTTTCCAATCTCCGGAAATAATAAAATTTTGTAAATTCAATTGAAAAATTAAATATATTTTTAAAATAAATAAATAAATAAAAAAATTATTACATACGTATGATGGTGAATTTAAAAACAAGTTGTGTTAAATAAAATTATTCTTACTTGTCGTAAGGTCGTTGTCCCCACAAATGTGCAACGCTATTGACAAAAAAAGCGATATTCAATGTAATGGAAAAGCGGAAGTTGAAGTTTACCCAGAATGAATTCCACAGAGTTTCATTCCAAAAATAATAAGGCACCCATACTGGAAGTGCAATAGCCAGTAAAGCGAAGAGAGGAATATACAGTCTAGAAGAAAATACAAAAATAATGATTTAATATAGATTATGAGGAATAATTATAAAACTTGCAACTATAATTATTAATATGATATTGAATAGTATAATATTCATTAAATAATTTGAAACTAAAAATTACGTTTTTTGCCACATGACAATTGGATCACTTTCTAAATCCCGCATGTCGACTATTTTTCGTTTGGCGATAACACTTGGATGTGGAGTGGTGAAGAGCCAACCCACATGGGCAAAGAAAAATCCTCTCTTAACGTTATGTGGATCTGCATCAGTTTCACTGTATTTATGATGAATTCTATGGTCTAAAACCCATGTATGTACATCTCTCTGTGAAGAAATACATTTTTATATTTAGTTTTTAGTTAATTTTATTAATTACCATCTTCACAGCACAGAAAATTTTCTGACATTTTATTAAATATTTACTTGCAAAGTTTGAAATATTTATTGAAATAACTTTGCTTTTAAATATTCCAAGCAATGCAAGTAAATATTTAATTGGTATGTTTTTAGGACCTTAATTTTTGTCAAATACTGTAAATATTTAATATATTTTCGGTGCGGGGGCACGTTTTTGGTATTTTTAAACATACCACTACAGTTAAATCCGCAAAGTTGATTCAATTAACTTTAAATATATCAAATAAGTATAGTTTCTCCTGTTCCCAATTTTAATATTGTTGCACTTATATTAAATAAATAATTTAGGGTTCAACTTTTATTAATGTGTTCATTTATATTCCCTCGGATTTGTTACTCAAAGAATTAGATGATTTTCTTGATTCCATTTCTGCGTCAGCGATGTTTTTAAATTAAAGAGGAGTTAGTTCATCAACATATTTCACGTATTGTATTAGTTTCAAAATTATAATTATAATTCATTTCCTTTAATTATAATTATAATTGTACGGTTTTTTTTGTCTATTTGGAACCATGTAAGCATAGCATTGTTATGTTTTTGGCGACTTCAAAGAAGGGCTGTATCTGAGAAAAGCGACACTATAGATAGTGTATATGATCTTCAAAGGGGAATTTACATCATTATGGTTACAATTCGAACAGCAATGACAAGGAGAATTTTTTATCACGAAGAGGACAGAAACTTGGAAACAAAATTAGAGGATGGAGGACAATTTCCTATTCCAGTAGAACAAGTGATTATTGTTGAAATAACTTGACACTAAAAATCTTTCTGCTTCTTTAAATCGAAAACAAGAATTCTATGTTTCTACAATTTTTGTAAAGCGTTGTACCTTTTTGACAGCAAATAAATTTTCGTTTCGAATAAACTTCTTAAAATTCCGTTAAGTTCCCCAAACGGGTTATTAAAGAACCATCAAATAGTAGTTAATAAATAATTAAATAAATACATACCTGCCCGGTTATTGTAAAGAGAAATGCCAACAACAGTCTTAATGGCCATTTTGCCTTATAAGCTCGATGGGACCAAAGTCTGTGAACACCAGCGGTGATACCAAAGCCAGAGGTGTAAATCGTTACGAAAGCTGAAATCAATAATAATAAAAAAGAATAAGGTTTGCGTGTTATAAAATGGTTCTGTGTCCTATAACTTCTATGTCATTTTCACGTAAAGCACACTTTATAAGACGAAAGATTAATGTTGATAAGAAACATACTACTGAATACCATGCTTTATTTTACATCGGTTTCTCTGAAAATGAGCTCCAAATTATTTTTAACTATAGTTTATATGTTTGCGTGACTTTTCAAGAGCTTTTATCGAATTTGAAAACTTAACTTTTACACGTAAATTTATTTTTCAAAGAAAAATGTATTCTTTACATTGTATCAAGTTGATAGTTATTGGAATATGATACAATCATATTTTTTTTTGCTCGTCATAGATGATGTAATAAGCAAGATTAAATATTCATTTTCATGTCTCGTAAATTTCAAGAATAAATTATTTATTATCATCGAAAATAGGACTGAAAAATTTTAATTCTTGCAATTACGAAATCAGACTTTTGAGTTTAATTTTTTACTGTTTTTTAAAAAAAATATGATAAAAATCTTACCCCAAAGTGATGTGAGAGCCTTTGCTTGTGTAAGACAAAGATAAAATCCATAAACACAACCAAAATGGATGAACATTTGGGCTGCAAGATCGGGCCATTTAATTCTTGGAGTATATTCCACATTCTCCTTACTTAATTCCAAATCATTGGCACTGTCTTTTGGAAAATAATCTGTAAATTCATCATCTTCATTTTCATCAAGTACAATTTCGTTTTCCTTTAGAGAACAAGTTCCATTGACTAGATTCTCTTCGATTTGTGTCATTTTATAGATTTAATGGTTATTTTTCTTCTTTTATTGAGTTTTTCTTTCTTTTCTCGTTATCATTAACTTTTTCGTTAATTTTGAAATTCTTTGCTGAAAGCTGAAACAAATTTTTATTGTTATTGACAACTTTTAACTTTTATCAAAATTGCCAAAATCAAGATTTATTGAACAAGTGTTAAAATTTCATTTCTTTTGATACGTCGGAAGAATTTAAAATCGTTCTATATCAATCTTGATATACTTTTAATTACGATTAAATTGATTTTATAATATAATAAGAGCAAAAAAAAATATTTTTGAAAATAATTGAGATAAACGCAACAGGTGTTCAATTTATCGTTTGATATTTGTAATAAGACAACAATCTTGATAAATATTTTTAATTGCGATCAGATTTGATTTTTATTATTAAACTTGTAAACAAAAAAGAAGTAAACTTTTCAATAGTTCAAATTTTTCTTATTTTTATCCTTGAAATAGTTATAAAAACTGTTTGTAGAAATAAATTTTTTTTCCTCCACCGTTTGTCTGCTGTGTTAATTTTTAAAAATCATAATTAATTTATGAATTTAACTTTTTTTGATTATAAAATAAATATTATGAAAAAATATTTCTTTTTTTCTGCAGAGAAAAAGAGTTAAAAGTGTTACTTGAACTATGACATAATTTTCAATTAGTTCTTTCTTGCAGTTATGTTAGTTCCATGGTCACGTCATTCATGCAAAACAATGAATGCACAATGACCTTCTCATGGACACAGAAATTGCAGAACGTAGTTTATGTTGCGTATAATTTTCTAAAGGCGTGGTGATTTCTAAAATGTATTTTCTGTATTTAAACTTGTTTTTAAATATTTAAAGTTTTTTTAAAGTTGTTTTTTATGCTTTACAATTATTTGAAATTCTGCGTATTCTGATTACAAATTTAAAATTTATTTTGGATTCATTTTTCGATATGAATTAAAAAACTGATAAGCATTATATTTACAGCAAAAATATTATCTAAGTATAATAAAATGGTTAAAAAATAAAAAGTATTTTAAAAAAATTCAAAATTGATAATCAATTCAGATGTTTTTCAAATGCAGAACCTTTTTACGTCATAAAAAACTTCAGATCGAGATTTTAGCACCATATTCTTTGCTAATAATACTTGCTCTTTGAAATTCTTTTGCTCCACTTTAAGTTTATTTTTAAAAACATTTACATACTTTTTTTCTTTCCATGTTAAAATATGTGGTGACAAAAAATATATTTCTAATACTAAAAAATTTCTAATCTTTATTAAAATTCTTCTTCAAATCTATTCTTTCTCTTCATCTATAGACACAATATTTATTTACATAAATAAATATATAAATAATATTAAAAATGTAAAAATAATTGCAAAATTGAATTTTTAACCTGTAAATTTTATTGCAGTATCATAAGTTTTTGTGATATTTGATTAAATTTTCTGGTATGATTAAATACGGCATCAATCAATCCTTTTTTTGTCTAGATGTGACATATAAATAATTTTGTAGTAGGTTTTCTACACGTAAAAAGTGAAATAAAAGGAGGGAAAAGTCTGTAAGACGATGTTTGTGGCGCCGGCTAGGCAGGGTAATTTAATTAGCTGTCCTGATCACCAGAAAGATAGTAAATGATTAAATTGATGCAATGAAAAAGAAGTGTAAAAATTTAAAAAAAGTTGTGTCACTGTATTTTTTTTTATTTAAAATTAATAATAGAAATTTCTATTATCCTGACGTTTTTAATCATGCACGAAAGTATAATTAACTAAATAAGAAAAATATAATCATAATAAAAAAATATAATTCTCATTTAAAAAATTCAACCCGAATTGCTCTCATAAAAATAACTGACACAAAATATTTTTAGATTCTAAAGTTACTTGATTCTTTTCGGCAGTTGACTGAGTCTTAGTCGTTACGGAAACTTTTAGGAAAGAAAATTTAGAAAATAAATTTGGAGTGAACGGAATCGAACCTTGGTTCGACGGATGCGAACAGAGAACCCTATTCACTAAGCTACGCAACAACTTTGACTTCTAAAATACAGTTCCAAATCTAAAATATTTTTCCAGAAATAGATATTTTAAGTTGGAATTATATTCTCTATTTTTTAAGAATCAAAAAAAATCACAAAAATCGATTCAATTTTTCTCCTTTTTGAAAATAAAAACTCAAATCCCATTGTAATCTACTTCAGAAAAACAAGGTAATGAAAATTAGATTTAGAAGCAATTTAAAAATTGCATATTCATTTACAGGAAACTTATTAGTAACCTAGAACTCTTGTACAACTCATAAAAGTAAAATTTCTTCGAATGGATAAAATTTTTCCTTTTTTTCGTTTCAATACACACATCAGTGACGTAATATTTCTCATGTTTTATCTTAAACTTGTAAACATAGATAAAATTTTGTTCAAGTAGACAAATGATACTTTTCAACACCCAGGTGCGATAATCTATGCAATATCTATAAGTGTAAATAAAAGTAAATATAATCTTTTTTTCTCAAAAACAAATTGATAAACCATATCACTTAAGTAATCGATGGATGGAAAAAAAAATTTTTAACAATAATTGCCATCAATAAAAATTATTTTTATTGATTCATAAAATGTGAAATGTACTCATTAAGTAGTTCTTTTTTATTCATAAATTAAGTACAAAGTAGCAATAAATTTCTCTACAAACGTAAATGTATACAATTTTGAGTAATTAGTTAATGAAAAAAAATTGACGTTATTGTAGCTTTTAGATAACTATTGACGTCATTTTTTCTCATTGAAGCCAATTGGATGTCAGTGCTCTGAATTTGTACCAAGAATAAATAAATTTAAAAAAAAATGATAAAAATAAAGAAAATAAAACTAATAATAATACTAATAATACTAATAATAGTACTAATAATACTAAAAATAATAATAAAGAATAACAATAAAAATAATGAAAGTATGTCAAAAAATAGTTAATAAATTTTTTATGTTAATAAGTGTGAATTGAAATTTATTTTGTATTAAAACCATGGACGATATTTAAATTATGTAATAGTTTCAAATATAGACATGAATAGAAGAAAACTTTTTTAAGAAAAATTGTTACTTCCTTTTCCGTTAGGTAATAAATACAATTTATATATATATGTGAATTTTTGTCACGTGACTATTATTTATATATACGAGACACGCACATTTATTTTGACCGACGCGAATAAGAGTGATGCCTTTCACTTACCGGTTGTTATACAATTTTGTGCTTCAAACACAATTTATTACTTATTATCATAGAAATTATGTCTAGTGCTCTAATGATAAAATTTAACACATATGGACCATAATTGTTGATAAAAGTTATTAAATACTTGAATATAACAGTCTAATGAAAGTTTTCATTCTAATTAACAAATAAAAACTGTAAAATTCTTACAAATAAGAAAAATAAAAACACCGCTTGTGAGAGAGACTCTAGCGCTATCTGGAAGCAAACACAAAAAATGCGCGGCAATATTTAAAAATGAAAAATTTGTTTCGAAAGAACGATATTAAAATTTAATCGTCGATTTAAAAGAAAATATTGTTATATGCAAAATAATTTCTCTTCATACGTATATTACATGTATAACGAACTATATATATTTTTGTATCATATGATCTCTTCTTAAGATCTCTCGACTTTTGTTTATATGATGTCGATAAGGTTCGACTTGTGGAGTCGCTTATGGGATGACAAATACAGTACTGTAACGTTAGTCCCTTGCCGGCTCTTGTCTTGTGAAGACTTCTTTAAAATACATTTTCGACTTTGCTTAATTACAATTAACTATCTTTTATTTAACCTGAACTGCTTCCCGTTTATTTAAATTCCAATAGGTTATGGGCCCAGGCACATAATAAGTGACAATAAGTGCTTTTGGGTATTTTAGTGTTTTAAGTGACAATAATAGTTTTAGTGCATTTTAGTGTATAGCAACTCTAGTGACAATGAGTGCGGACATAATAAAAACGAAACGGAACATCAAACTATTCAACGGTGAAAAATATAGTATTTGGAAATTTCGTGTTCGTGCACTAATAGCTGAAGAAGATGCATTGCAGGTCCTTGACGAAAATAAACCAAATGAAGTATCAGACGAATGGCAAAAACGTGAACGTATCGCTAAAGGTTCCATCATTCAACACCTTAGTGATTCTATGATTGGATTTGCAACTGAACAGGATACCGCTCGACAAATATTTAAAAAACTGGATGAGATATACGAAAGAAAGAGCCTGGCAACACAACTGGCTGTTGAAAAGAAATTACTAGGTTTTAAACATAAAGGGGACACTCCGTTAACAAATCATTTTGTCGAATTTGATGAAATGATTGTCGAATTATCAGCAGCAGGAGCAGTATTAAATGAAACTAGTAAAATTGCAAGACTATTACTCACACTTCCGAATTCTTACGATTCTGTTGTCACCGCGATTCAAACACTTTCGGACGAAAATTTATCCCTCGCATTTGTGAAAACCCGACTACTGGACTATGAAATAAAAGTGAAAAACGAAAGTGGAGAAACAAGCGGAAAAGTTTTGCAGGCAGCAACTCAACAAACAGATAAAAATCGAAAACATTCATCTGGCAATCAAAGAAAGTGGAAAAATCCTAAATCGCATTCCAAAGGAAAACCAAATTATCATCGAGAAAATAATTCGAAACATTCACATTCAAAATACGGAAACCACAATAAAAATGCTATTAAAAAATGTGATCATTGTGGTAGAAGGAATCACGAGAAAAAGGATTGTTATTACTACAAAAGAAATTCACAAAATCAAGAAGAACGACAACATACTATTCAAACTGTTCAATCAAATGATAACAGAAGTTTCGCGTTTGTGAGTGATACCGAGAATACATTAAACATTGCAACGAGTGATTCGAATAGATTGACATTTCTGCTTGACTCCGGTGCTACAGATCATATAGTGAATCAACCAGACATATTTACAAACATCACAGAATTGGCAGAACCTCTAAAAATTTCCATCGCTAAAAAGGAGGCCTCTATCACCGCTTCAATGAAAGGAACAATCAACATTACAACAAACTTGGGATTTAAGGGGCAACTAAAAGATGTCTTATATGCACCTGATGTACCATATAATCTTTTGTCAGTTCGTAGAATCCAGGAAGCTGGAATGAGAGTTACTTTCTGTGAAAATGGAAAAGTGACTATTGACAAAGATGGTAAGAATATTCTTATTGGTAAGTCCAGAAACAATTTAATATGTGTAGATTTTATAATAAATAAAAGCATGTGTAATCAAGTAAGAATTGATAAAAACGTGCAATTAAACACATACGAATTATGGCATGCACGTTTAGGCCATATTAATAAATTAAAATTTTTAGAGATTAAAAGAAATAATCAACTTCCTGATTGCCAACAATTAAAATCCATAAATCCCACAGACGAAATATGTGAAGCTTGTGTATATGGAAAACAAGCTCGTCTCCCTTTTTCAAAGAATAAAGATAGGGCTCATGTAAAAAGACCATTATTTGTTGTTCATACAGATGTTTGTGGTCCAATTACTCCCTCAACTATAAATGATAAAAATTATTTCGTAACTTTTCTAGATGAGTTTACTCATTACGCGGTTGTTTATTTACTTTCTTATAAATCAGAAGTTCTCACATGTTTTCAAGATTTTGTTGCTAAATGTGAAACACATTTCAATCTGAAAATTGCTCATTTATATTGTGATAATGGGAGAGAATATTTGTCAAATGACTTCAAATCGTTCTGTGTTAATAAGGGTATACAATATCATTTAACTGTACCACATACTCCACAACAGAATTCTGTTGCGGAGCGCCTAAATAGGTCATTGACCGAAAAAGCACGTGCAATGATACACGGAGCAGATTTAGGTAAAGAACTCTGGGGTGAAGCTATTCTTACGGCAGCATATCTGCTTAACTTAACCCCTACAAAAGCCATAACAGACAACAAAACACCTTTTGAACTTTGGCACAACAAGTTGCCAAAATTAAATCACTTAAAAATTTTTGGGTGTACTGTTTATGTTCACAATAAAACGATGAAATCTAAGTTTGATAAAAAATCATTCAAAGGTATTCTTGTTGGTTATGAACTAAGTGGCTATAAAGTTCTAAATGTGGAAACAAATAAATTCATCATTGCCCGTGATGTAATTTTCGATGAAGTTAATTATAAAACTTCACGACCACCCTTATATAATAAAGAGATTGAATCAGAAAATCTCAACACAAAAAGAACGAAAACTGATCATTTGTTGGAAATCAGTAATAAACAAGAGAGTGATATTAACAAGTCTGTAATAGAAACAGATAAAGTTAATATGTCGCCGAACCCTAACATAAACTCTCAATTGGAGTCTGACATAAACAAACCGCGGCGGAGCGCAAGAATTAAAAACATGCCTTCTATTTCTTATGAAGAAGTAAGTAATATTACTGAAAGTTTTTACACGTGCGCTCAGTCTGCTGTTTGTGACACTCCAAAATCATATACTGAAATAAAAAACCGTGATGATAGGCTTCAGTGGGAGATGGCAATGAAGGAAGAAATTCAATCTCTTTTACAAAATAATACCTGGACTTTAGTACCTTGTCCAAAAGATAAAAATATCGTTGATTGTAGATGGACATTTGTTTTAAAACACGATGGTTACGGGAATCCATCAAAATATAAAGCAAGGGTAGTTGCAAAAGGTTTCAGTCAACAATATTTATTAGATTATGATGAAACTTTTGCACCAGTCGCGAGAATAACAACTTTTAGAGTATTAATTGCTATCGCCAATCAATATAATTTGTTAATCCATCAAATGGATGTTAAAACAGCTTTTCTTAACGGTTCATTAAAAGAGGAAATTTACATGCGCGTTCCTGAGGGGGTTGAAACTAATAGTAAAAACGTGTGTAAATTAAATAAAGCGATATACGGTTTAAAACAATCAGCTAGATGCTGGTTTGAACGTTTCGATCAAGTTTTAAAACAACACGGTTTTGAGAACTCCTCGGTAGATCGTTGCTTATATATTCTCGACAAAGGACACATTAATAAAAATATTTATGTAGTCTTGTATGTCGATGATCTCATAATTATCACTTTCGATAAGAAAACTATAATTAGTTTCAAACAATATTTAATGAAACATTTCTCCATGGTCGATTTAAATGAAGTACAATTTTTTCTGGGAATTAAAGTTGAACGAAAAGAAAATACAATCACCTTAGATCAAAGTGCATATTTGCAAAAAGTTTTGCAAAAATTCAATATGAAAGACTGTAACAGTATTAGTACTCCGTTACCACCAAAATTAAATTATAAAGATTTAAATTCGGATGATCATTATGAAGCACCATGTAGAAATGTTATTGGTTGTTTAATGTACGCGATGTTGTGCACGCGTCCCGATTTATGCGTTGCAATCAATTTACTCAGCCGTTATCAGAATAAAAATAATAAAGAACTTTGGCAATGTTTAAAAAGGGTTCTTAGATACGTTAAGGGGACATTAAATTTGAAACTAATTTACAAGAAAAGCGATTACAAAGAAGTATTGATTGGTTATGTTGACTCGGATTGGGCAAGCAATGAGAATGACCGAAAAAGTACCACAGGTTATGTTTTTAAATTGTTTGACCAAAATACTATTTGCTGGAATAGTAAAAGACAAAATTCAGTGGCTACGTCATCAACTGAAGCTGAATATATGGCTCTTTATGAGGGCGTAAAAGAAGCTTGTTGGCTTAAAACACTTTTACTAAGTGCAAAATTGCAAATTTTAAAACCAATTACAATATTCGAAGATAACAATGGTTGTATTGCTTTAGCCAATAATCCTACTGATCATAAAACATCAAAACATATTGATATTAAATATCATTTTTCTAGAGAAAAGGTAGAACAAAAGGAAGTAATGTTAAAATATATTTCAACAGGTAACCAACTGGCTGACACATTCACAAAGTCACTATACCAGCTGTTCAATTCCAATCAATCCGTCTCAAAATTGGACTGGAGGAGTTCTAAATATACTAAGATGAAAATTGAGTTCATACTGGAGCCTTGAAGAATTCATCTGTAACAGTCACCTATCCTCAAATTTTGTATGCATTGATATGATTCAACAAGAATGTAATTCAATATTTTTTGTTTGGTCTGATTAGGTTTTATCTGAGGTTTTCCTAATCCTTCGCAACAAATGTTGGGCTTTCTATGTACCTCAGTGTCAAAATGTAAAACCGTGTAATTATTTTGAGTGGGAGTATTGTTATATGCAAAATAATTTCTCTTCATACGTATATTACATGTATAACGAACTATATATATTTTTGTATCATATGATCTCTTCTTAAGATCTCTCGACTTTTGTTTATATGATGTCGATAAGGTTCGACTTGTGGAGTCGCTTATGGGATGACAAATACAGTACTGTAACGTTAGTCCCTTGCCGGCTCTTGTCTTGTGAAGACTTCTTTAAAATACATTTTCGACTTTGCTTAATTACAATTAACTATCTTTTATTTAACCTGAACTGCTTCCCGTTTATTTAAATTCCAATAGAAAACGTTCGCTATTGCGTAATATATAAATTTAGAACTATTGTAGCTTGCAATTATAATTCATTTCTAACTAGAGTTTTAAAGGAAATTTCGCAATTAGAGATAAAGGTATAATATTAGTAAAAAAAAAATATTCACGAAAGAAGGAATAAAGAAATAAATTAAAAATGGTGAATGAAATAAATTTAAAATGGTGGAAGAAATAACTTATTAATGAAATAATATTTTAAACCTTTTTTAATTTGCTTTAAAAGAAAAAATAAACGAGAGAACTTTAATATGTAAGAAATACACAACTATTTAGTTATTCAATTTCTAAAAATAAATTTCATATTTTTTCGAGTGTTTTCTTTTAAATTCATTCTTTTTTCTATATATATAATATCTCTATTACGTGTCAACTCGAACATCAAATAAAGCAGAAGTTATGATGACTCAACTTTTTGTCTGCTTTACGAATTTTACTTATAAATTTTAATACTAAAATTTTTCCGCTTGTTTATATTTTCTACACTATATTATTTCATAACAATGTTATAGTTTATAAAAAAGATACTTTATTTCAGGCAAAAAATTAATATTAGTCAAGATAAATTTTAGTAAAAAAATTGTAGTGAATAGAAATTTAATAAAAATAAATATTAAAAAAGATTTTTGAAAAATTTAGTACAAAAGATTGTAGATAGAAAAAATTGGAAAAATGTAAACAATTTTTATTTAGAGTGAAGATTTTTGTAAAATTCAATGTCAAATTGGGTATTAACTTGCACAGTTGGGTTTTAATGAACATTTTCGAGTTTAGTCCGCAAAACGTTTATTTCTTATATGCAAAAGACATTGTAACAAGAAACTAAGCAATTGTTATACGTGCTGGTGATAAGAGTTCACTAAAAGTGACTTTGAGAAAATGGAATAAACGAGTTTAACATGTTCGTTTAAACAAATTGTAAATATACTCTAAAATATGTTCATATTTTAAATTTTTTTTCGCATTCAAATCAATATATTTTTAATTTCATTTCTAATATCTCATGTAGGAAATAATTTTAAATAATATTACGTTTTAATATGAAAAATAGGAAATTTGTCTAAATGTAACAAATATAGGTAAAAATAGTAATAATAAAATTATTTTGAAAAACTGTTATATTTCCAAAAATTGCAAAGATATTCAAGTAGCATTTGTTAGGATTTTTTTAATTTAACAAAGTTTGTTTATTTAAAAAAGTAAATTATTAAAGCAGACTTAATTTTGAAACCAAAATCAACGAGAAAAAGAATCGAACAAACAATAAAATAATGAGACAAAAAATTAAAATACCAAATATACCTGGATTAATTACGTTCCATATCCAGCAACGTCTCGAAATATCTCAAACTTTATTTGCATTAATAATTCTTGACACACGTGTTTCTCGAAAGAATTTATCAAATGTAAATATTACTCATTATATCAATGTGGAAAAACATCGTATTGAATTCAAAAATTTTGTGAACCTTTCGAAAAAAAACTGTATATATTTATAAGCAGACGAGAAACTTCTTTCTTTAAAGGAACCAAAAAATATACACACCACTTTTTTTAAAACTATAATTGCAATTTGAAATTATAACTTTTACACACACACACATACACACTTGCAAAATAATTTTTTCTTTTTTTAAAAATTTATGATACTTTTTAGAATTTTATTTTTTATAAATAAAGAATAGAACAAAATCTAAAAACAAATAAATAAATAATTATAAAAGAAAATTTATCCCTTTTCTTTTAAAAGACACTTTTAATTTCAATTTTTGTACGCAAAGGATCAGCGTGCGTAATATTACCACGATTACAAACGAAGAAAGACTGATCGTATAAGTTTATGAGAGAAACCGGCCGGTGATCCAAGCATGCAACCTCTACTACCTATACTATTACTATCTATGTATTAAGTAACTATACACAAGAGAGATTGTAAAATACATTTATAAAAAAAAGAATTGGTGCAAATGGCGCGCTCTCTCATTCCGACATATTAGTTCCAAATGATAAATTTTCCTTCCAAAAATGAAAATAAACTCTTAAATTAAGAGGAATATTTTTTTCTATTTTTTTCATTTGCTGCTTACATTAAATATATTTTCAATGGTAAAAATTTATAATTTTCCCTCTTAATTTAAAAGAAAACTTGATTTTGATTTGCTTTATTATATTCAGCACCTTTTTTGAAAGAAAACAATTTTTATAATAACTTAAAACGCATACAATAAAAAATACACTATTTGGTAAACTATTATTAATTAATTTAAATTAATTATTTTTATTGTTATTATTAACTTTTTTCAACATTTGTTTACTACTTTACAAAAAAGTGCCTTTTTAAATATTATTAATATTATTATTATTATTATTTAACATTTATTTATTGAACCTTTATTTATATTCAGGTAAATAAATTGTAATCTTATCATTATTATAATTATTATTTTATCATTATTGCTGTTATATGCCTCAAATTATTTATTTATGTATATTATTATTATTGCTACTATTATTTTTAATATGTTTACTATCATTATTTACATTTTTAATATTATTAATTAAGTTATTATCATTACTATAATAATTATTACTATAATAATTATTACTATAATTGATAAAACTTTTTTTAAAATAATAATTGAATATTATTCACAATAATAAAATCACTTTTTTATTTTAAAAATAAAATATAATGTAAAAATAAGAAATACGGGGAATTGAAACGTTGAATAGTTGAAATTTGTAGTAGAAGAGAGGTAAATTTATACAATATGTGTGAGTCTATTTAGGTATAGTTGAAAATGACAAGACTCTTTAAAGTCATTAAAAAGGGATCCTCAGGTACACATTTACAGTATACTTTGAAGTTACTTACTTAGAATAATAAAAGAAGCAAAAGAAACGAAAAGAAAATTGAATTGAAGATATAAATAATTTATCTAATTCGTACGAAAAATTCACACTTTCATTTTTATTTAGTTATAATTAATTTGTTATTTAAATTAAAAAGCTAAATACGTCATTATTACTGAAAATTTAAAAAAAATTTTTTTGAAGTAATTTTTCACGTGGAATGACCACTGTACAAAAGTATATTAAGAGCATTCCGTGCAAATTTTAAGTGAAAAAATTTTTTTTATTGTAATAATTTTTAAATTTGCTGATTTTACATGGAATGTCCCTCATTTATTTTTATCAAAAGGGTATTTCGTGCAAATTTTTTTTTTTAAATTTATTTCTTGTTTGAATTTTTATTTCTCTCGACTACTTCTATGCAACCAGTGAAGTAATTGAATTTTCTTTATTTAATAATAGTAAAAAATGTTTTCCTAGGCTAATATTAATATTAAAAAATAAATTCAGTTAAAGAATAAAAAAATATAAAAGAATAATATAAAAATAGCAAAAATATAAAATGTAATATAATCCTAAAAGTAAAAAGTATCTGAAAAAGTATTCATTTTTTAAATACAACAAGTTTTCTTCTTTTTTTAAATTTTTATGTATAGAATTCTGTAAATTGGATTGAAGCAATTAATAGAGTGAAAATTAATTAGATTAGTCAAGTGAAGGAAACGATAAAAAAGTTGTGTTGCCCATTGAATAAAATTAAAGTCGACGATCATGAATAAGATTTCAATGTAGTGGAAAATTTAAGTATCACTTACATGCCTCTAAGTACACATAAAATTAAAATTCATTCACTTGTTCACTATTAATAAAACAAATTTAAATATTTGGAGACAAAAAAAACTTTCAGTTTCCTTTCTAGATTATAACTGACGGTTCAGTCGACTGTTAACTTCTTATATATTGAGATTTTCATTTTCAGGTATAGACCGAATGCAAGTGTATGTGTTTGCCTATTCGAAATTTTCTGTACAAATTTATTTTAGGTTTTCTTCGAAGTCCCCTTACACTTTAGGTCCCTTTTTCAATGAGACGAGTATCCCCAACTGTGTTTCAAATATTACGATAACTTACAATGTATAAAGCCCCTTTCGTTAAATATTTCACAATTCATAAGAATAAAATTTATATTATATTTTCTTACTTCTTTAGATTTATTTACTCTCCTTTCAAAATTATCGTTAATTAATAAAATTATGAGAAGAAAAATTGAATTTTATTATTTATATGTATAAAAAAAATGGTGCAAAAATATTGTTGCAATAATTTATTAGTTGCATAATTAGATGAAGAATATTTTCTCAAAATTAATATTAATATTTGGCTATTTTATTTTCTATTTTTCTGGGCTACACTAAATTTAATAGTCCTAATTTGAATTAATATCAATTTTGCAATCATACTTGCAACATAGTTATGCGATAGCATCATGTGAATACTAATATAGTGCTTGCATTAAATAGAACTTATGTCACAAACGTGCCAAAAGAAAATTTGCAACGAGAGTTATAGACCGGTTATCTCCTTCAATGTTGTTTGATTGAATAGATTAAACTTCAACATTCTTCATTTTATTAGCAACTTTTACTGTTTTAGCAATTTTTTGATAAAAACTAATATTATCGCAATTTTATCGAATGTAGTAGAGATTATTTTTAATCAAAAAGTCAATTTATGTTGAATTTTTGTTTTTTATTTTACTTTGTACAATTCATTTTTTTCTACACATTTTTTTATTATATTAATTTATTTTTTATATTTTTCTTCTTTTATTAATCTTCTTAAATAATTTTAGGCTGCGCCAACTATCGCAATAAAATGTTTTTTCATTATAATAAATAATTTCTCAACGTATTTCAAAATAAGCATCTGAGTTTGTAAAATTCATGCACGGAGTAAAAAGCGCGCGCAATGCATAAGGAGTGGGGATAATCTGATACTAATTGGTCGACGCGTTATCCCCACTCTTAACAATGCTGCGCGCGTCTGCGATCTCTAGAATAACGCTGAATCACATCAAGTTTAAAATTACAAAAACTATTCTTAAAGTTTTAATTTATGTCGTTCCAGACAACAAACAATTTTTTTTCACTTTCTTAATAATTATTTGATGGAAAAATTGAAAAAAATAGAACTTTTTTTTGCTTTCATAATATTTACTAGCTGGAAACACTGCGTTAAATAGGAAATAGTTCATAGCGTGAGAATTTTATGAAAGACGAGAAAGTTACTTAAGTCTGATTTGCTTTATTTAGTTCTGCGTTTTCAAATAAATTTATTGAATTGTCAGATACTTAAGGGAAATAAGGAAGAATAATCGATGCCTCCAAAAGAACATTCCGAGACTTTACTTGGCAAACTTGTCGCGACACAAAGGCGCGTTTCAAGTAATTACTCAAATGCATGCAACCTTCAATGTAAACATAAACCCACGACGAGAAGGGTTGAAAAATAAAAATAGGTCAAGAAATGATGAAAAGAAATTTTTATTCAATTTAAATTATCAACTTAAATTGAATTCAAAATAGAATTCAGTTGCTTGATTCTGTAAATACATTTTTATTTATAAAAAAACATAATTTTAGTATTATGGTTTATAACAGAAATCATTGTATAAATCTCGACCTAATTCATATAATTGACATAAATCACTATTAATCTATACATTTTGTTTAGTGCAAATTTATTTTTCGTCTAATAAATGTCAAATTATAGAAATATTATACTTTACATAAATCTCTTTTGACTTAATTGTAATTCGAAATAAATCTCTTATAATGAAATTTTGAGACGCATGACTATTCCCGAAATCTTATTTGACATAATAGCCATTTGACATAAAACCATTTACCATAAATTTCATTTGACAAAAAATTTATTTGGTAGAGATGTGCAAAAAGCTCGAATTTCCGAGCCGAGCCAAGCCGAGCACAAGCCGGCTCGATGTATCAAGTACTCGAAATTTTCGAGTACTCGGGTAAATTCGAGTACTCGAGTAAAATCGACTACTCGAATGGATTCGAGCTTTTAAGTGACAAAAAAAACTATTAATAAGTATAGAAAATTTCGAATTTATGCGAATTAAAGTCAATAAATCTTCAATTTCAAAGTGTATTTCAATTTGCTAATTATATATGCGAAAATTATATGATTTTTCTCTAGAACTCGAATTTACTTAAGAGCTCGAAAAAATTCGAGTACTCGAATGCACTCGAGTACTCGAAACATTCGAGTACTTGAAAAAATTCGAGTGTTCGAAATTATTCGAGCTTTTTGCACAGCTCGGCTCGGCTCGAACTGATTAGGCTCGGCTTGGCTCGGCTCGAAAAATGAAAAGCTCGATCGAGCCTCGAGCTTTTTGCACATCTCTACTATTTGGTATTAAAAACATTTAATGTAAAATTTATTTGACATACATTTCATTAAACATACAATTTATATTGCATAAATGGCATTTAATATGATATCCATTTGATATATATTCAATTAGACATAAAATTCATATAACATATATGTCATTTGACATAGAATTAATTTAACATATATTTTATTTGATATAAAAATCATTTAGCATAATTTCCATTTAACGTAAAAATACAATATTGACTTGAATTTTATTTCACATAAAAATCACTTGACATATACTTCAATTGACATAAGTTTATTTGACATAAAATTAATTTAAGGTAAAATTAGTTTAACATATACGTCATTTGACATAATATACATTTAATAAATTTTATTTTGTCCTAAAATTCATTTGTCATAAATTTCATTTGACATAAATTTCACTTGACATAAATTTCATTTGATATAAATGTCATTTAATATAATTCTCATTTAACATAAATTTCATTTTACATAAAGTTCATTTGACATAAAAGACATTTAACATAATTCTCATTTGCCATAAGTTATTTGACATATATTAGATTTGACATAAAAGTAATTCAACAAAATTCTTATTTGACATAAAAATCATTTTACACAAATTACATTTTACATAAAAATATCGGCGCGAATTTTAAAAGTAAACAATTAGATATTATCAACAACATTGTGATTCGCCAATTTTGAAATTCGCGCCTATATTTTCATGTCAAATGATCTTTATGTAAAATTAAATCTATGACAACTGAATTTTATGTCAAATGAGAATTATGTGAAATGACTTATCCGTCAAATGAAATTTATATCAAGTGAACTTTATGTCAAATGAGAATTATGTTAAATTTGATTTCTACCAAATGAAATTTATGCCAAGTAAATTTTATGTCAAATGAGAGTTATGTTAAATGGCGTTTATGCCAAATGAAATTTATATCAATTTAATTTTATGTTAAATAATAATTATGTTAAATGATATTCACGTCAAATGAAATTTATGTCAAGCGAATTTTATGTCTAATGATATTTATGTCAAATGGATTTTGTGTCAAATGAGAATTACGTTAAATGACATTTATGCCAAATGAAATTGATGTCAAATGAATTTTATGTTAAATGAATTTTAGAACAAATAAAATTTACGTTAAATGAATTTTATGTCAAAAGAAATTTATATATGTTACATATAATAAATTTTTATGTCAAATGGGAATTAAGTTATCTGAGTTTTATGTAACATAATATTTCTGTTAAATGTATTCTATAACAAATGATATTTATGATAAATGGTTTTTGTGTTCAATGAAATTTATGACAAATAGTGTTCATATTATGTGGATTTTAAGTTAAGTAGTTTTATATCAAATAACTATTTGGTCAAAAAAGATTTCGGGAATAAGCATGCGCCTCGAAATTTTTGCCTGACATTAATCTGATTTTACAAAAATCACACTTTACATTAATCTCATTTGAGAAAAATCACCCTTTAAATAAATCTCTTTTTGTGAAATTGTGGTTCGACTTAAATCTCTTTTAATGTAATAGAAATATTACACTTTACATAAATCTCTTTTGACTTAATTATTGTAATTCGAAATAAATCTCTTAAAATGTAATTTTTGCCTGACATTAATCTGATATTTTACAAAAATTACACTTTTTATTAATCTTATTATAATTGAAAAAATCACCCTATACATAAATCTCTTTTTGTGAAATTCTTGTTCTACATAAATCTCTTTTAATGTAATTTTTGATGAACATAAATTTCTTTTGACAAAAATCATACGTGACATAAATCATATTAGATAAAATAATAAAATTCACTTTACATAAATCTCTTTTGACCTGATTCTAATTCGACTTATGTCTCTTTCGATATAATCCTTTTTTGACATAAATCTCTTTTGTTGTAATTCTCATGACATAAATCTTATTTGACTACAATTATATTTGGCATAAATCTACCTTGATCTGGTTTTAATCAGGTCATAATAAGTAAATCGATATAAATCACTTTTGACCTAATTCTAGTTAGGCATGAATCTCTATTAACATATAATTCTTGACTGCAATAAATACAAAATGCAAAACAAAAATCATACTTAACATAAATCTTATATCTACTTATCTGACATAAATCTCTTTTTACCTATATAATTCAGTTTTAAAGAATATTGTAACTCTTAATTAATATCAATGTAACTAATTTTATGTAAAAATAAATTAGAAATTAAGCTAAATGTGATTAATGTGTGGTATAATTTTTGTCATTTTTTTTTTATTATATATTTATATTATATATAAGGATTTCATGACAAAAATAAGGACAAGGAAGTTTAAAAAAAAACAATAATTGAATCAATAGAGATATCTACTGTCAAACAAAAAAGGATTTAAGTGAGATTCATGTCAATTGTTTAGGTCAAGTGAGTTTAAAGTTAAACAAAAATTTAATCCAGTGAGATTTATGTGAATCGAAACTAAAATCAGTTAAGATTTATGTCAAACAAAATTGAAATCAATGCAAACAATTTAGGTCAATTGAGATTTATGCCAAACAAAATTTAGATCAATTGACATTTACTTAAAAAAAATTCAGGTCAGTAAAGATTTATATCCAACAAAATTTAGGTCAATAAAGACTTATGCCAAACAAAATTTATGCCAAATAAGACTAAAGCCAATTGAGACTTATACGTCAAACAAAATTTAGGTCAATAAAGATGTATACCAATCAATATTCAGGTCAAATAAAATTATGCCAAATTAAATAGGAAGAAAAATATAAAAAAAATTTTAAACTTTAAAATTATAAGCGCCAAAGAATTAATAAAGTTTTCTATAATATCAGTAGTAACTTGTACATCTTCTCCCTGCTTCTTATCCGTGAGTGAAAGGACAAAATTTTACTTCAATACCGACAGAATGAATTTCAGAATTGCTCCAATGCTTCTACAATAATCCGCTGATAATTTTCAGTGGCGCTAAAACCACTGAAGACCAGAATCGGAGTGATTATTTTCGACCTGGTATGATTTTAATAATATTAGCTCCTAAAAATATTTTTTTTCTGAATTATTATAATTTTGCATGATTTTAACGCATGTCATTTTACAAGAAAAGAAAATTTACTTCATTAGATACAGAAATGAATTGTTTTGAAATTTTTTTAAATGTAATTTTCTTTGCAAAGCGTAGCTTGCATCGACCGTGACGCCGGCTGAATATTTCGCATTAATTGTAATTTTTTAAAAATGTACAGAGAGAATTTCGTTTTCTTAATTTACTATTTTGATTTATTTTCATATTTTTGCATTCAAATTTTATTTGTATAATTTTTTTTCTAAAAACTAAGATGAAAAATAGTAGAATTTTAAATGTTTTTAAAGGGGAATCACCTTAAATTATAATACACAAACTGAAAACCGCTTTACAATTAAAATTCTGTTCCACTTTTTAATAACAACAAATACATTTATTTATTACAGTTTTTTTATCAAAAGGGGAAGAATTATAAATTAATATAATAAAAATTATAAATTAGTATATAAATATTAATTAATGTTAACTCTTCAATTTTTTATTAACATTTACATTTAAAACATTAAAAAAAATATCTTTATTGTTATAATAATACGTAAATATAATTTTTCATTTGAAAATAAAATTATTTTATTTTATTTCAGAGAGAAAGAAAAATGTGTTTCATGTATAAATTGTTGATTTGGAGTAATCAGCCGGATGCAGTATGTCAAGGAAACTCCTTTGTACCTCTTGCACTTAACAAACGACATTGTGGCTCAAATATTTAAGGGTAAATAAAAGTCAAGTTCTTGCGAGAATTTAGCGTTAATCTTTTACTTTTATCTCGTATTTATTTAAATATTTCAGTTTAATTTTTACAATTCTCGCTATATTCATTTTTTACCTACTAATGAAATTTCTATTTAAAATAATGCAATATTTGTCAAATTTATCACTCTCATTAGCGAATAATCTGAATTCATTACTCATCTTATTAACAAATATTCTAAATTTATTACTCTTATCAATAAATATTTTAAGTAGACATTTTAATACTGTTTAAAACAAGTATAATATGGGATACTTATTTCATATTTTGACGTTGATAAAATTCTAATTCAATTGCCAATAATATATTATAATAGTAACTCGGAGCTCAGTATACTATCAATGCCAAAAAATATTTTTAAAAACTAAAAATTTGGACTGACAAAATATTGTGTCCAAAATGTATGACCTTTCACTTAGGCATTGCTAGAAATTTTAATTTTTTCAAAATTCAAAATGGCGGCTCATAAATGCCCAATGGGAAATTTACAACTGGCGTAGTACTGCGCCAGCACTGGCAGCACTGGCGGCAAGGCTGAGAGCCAGCACTGGCATGGCACTGGGATGATAACGCCGTCTGGCGCTGCCGAAGTACTGTCTGTCAGTGCTGCCAGACAGCGCTGGCACAGCACTGGACCAGTGCTGGCTGAGAATATTGCCGCAATAAATGCCGTATTGTTATTAACTAGTCGTAAATTAATAATTATAAATAATTTAACAACAAAATGGTAAATAATATTAATAAATAGTTATTATTCATAAAATATTTCTCTTCTCAAAGAAATTGTATTAAAGATGGAGACTAACAATGGATATAGTAAATAAAGTAGAAAAAAATTGTTTATAACATTTAAAAATTAAATAATAAACAATTACAGTAAGTGTGCATTAGACTTTCATATTTTAGTACCTAACGATTGGAATCTAGAAATATCGCAAACCTATGAAAATAAACAAAATTGCTGACGAGGGGAATCGAACCTACGACCTACGGACTAACAGACTAACGCTCTAACCACTATGCTAACGACACATGTGTACAGAAAAGTATTAATATCTCAGTATCATTCAGACATACAATTATTGAGTCAAAGATGAGAAAAAAATAGGGATACGTTAGAAATAATAAATTGAAATAAAATAAATTAAACTAAATTTTTAAAAATTAAATTACTTTACTTATTGCATTTAACATTTTACGTAATTCTTAAATTACGTGGTAATTTTTTAATAATTTTTTATTCATAGTAAGAAGTATAATAGTATTTTAATAGGAACCAAATTATTATTAAGATTATAGTTTAAATTTTGTTTATAATTTTAATTTGTTTAAATAATTTATTATTTACAAAATTAGACAACTGTGTTAAATTGTTATTATTAAATTTAATAAGAATAAAAAATGAACAACTGAAAAGTAAAATATTAATTTTTTTCAATAAATTTATATTTATAAACATTTATAAACTTTTTTTATAATTTTTTTCAAGTTTATGTCAAAAAAGCAATGTTGGCAAAGAGCGTCGTGAACAATTTTTCTATACTCAGCCAGCACTTGCCGCCGTGGCTTGTCCAAGCTTTGGCGAAACAAAAATTCTGTACTGCGCCAGCACTAATTGTCGAGGCTCGGCTAGACTACGCCGAACAATCGTCTGAGTACTAAGCCAGTGGTGAACATCGGCACTACACTGGCATTTCCCATTGGGTGGCCGATAAAATATCTAAAATTTTGAATATGCAGAAAAATAAATTCTAGGCACATTTTCTCACCACATAAATGACTAAAATTAGTATACAAATAACATTTGTGATAAAATTTTATCACTATGACTAATTTAACAATATTTTAAATAATTTTTATAAACAAATTGTTTTTTTAAAGTTACAAATAATGAAAAAAATTTGTTTGTTTACATATCGCTCTTATTTTGATAGTTGCAATGAATGTTGAGGATAAAAATTGTTTAACATTATTATTTAACAATGTTATAAACAATTTTATAAACAAATTAAGAATTGACAACAATTGAAGCTGAAAAAAATTATTTAACAACTTTATAAACAATCCCAATGGGAAATTTATAACTGGCGGAGTACTGTGCCAGCACTGGCAGTACTGGCAGCTACGCTGACAGACAGCACTGGCATAACTCTGGGATGATAACGCTGTCTAACGCTGGCGAAGTACTGCCTGCCAGTGCTGCCAGACAGCGCTGGCGCAGCACTGGACCAGTGCTGGCTGAGAATATTGCCGCAATAAATGCCGTATATTGTTATTAATTAGTCGTAAATTAATAATTATAAATAATTTAACAACAAAATGGTAAATAATATTATTAAATAGTTATTATTCATAAAATATTTCTCTTCTTAAAGAAATTGTATTAAAGATGGAGACTAACAATGGATATAGTAAATGAAGTATAAAAAAATTGTTTATAACATTTAAAAATTAAATAATAAACAATTACAGTAAGTGTGCATAAGATTTTCATTTTTTAGTACCTAACGATTGGAATCTAGAAATATCGCAAACCTATGAAAATAAACGAAATTGCTGACGAGGGGAATCGAACCTACGACCTACGGACTTACAGACTAACGCTCTAACCACTATGCTAACGACACATGTGTACAGTAAAGTATTAATATCTCAGTATCATTCAGACATATAATTATTGAGTCAAAGATGAGAAAATAATAGGGATACATTAGAAATAATAAATTGAAATAAAATAAATTAAACTAAAGTCCGTAGCAGTATAAGCATGTAAAAAGTGCCCCCTCTTGGATTGGGTCCATATTTAGAGAATAATTTTGACCTATTATGAGACTTATTTTCACCAAGTTTCAACTCGAAAAAAAATTTTGCTTTTGAGTTATACAATTTTTTTGAAAAATTCAAAAAAATTCAAAAATTTTTTTTCCCTCCAAAATGGCTGAACCGATTTTCATGAAACAATTTTTTTGTACAATACAATATAAACAGTTGATAAAAAAAATTGTCGACCAAATTCAAACAAAAAAAGTCAGTATAAAGTCAGTAAAAAAAAAAATATTTTTTTAAATTTTTTTAAAAAAACATTTTTTTTTATTGAAATTTTTTTTGCACCACCGCCATTTTTTTTACATAAGATAATAGTCATTTCAAAAGTAACATATATTTTTTGCAAGATTGAAAGGGTACTTCATACTTTAAAAAATAAAAAACCAATTTTTGGCCCCTAAATAAAATAAATAAATAGTAAATATAAATAAATAGTACCTACATATATGTACTATTTAGGGGCCAAAAATTGGTTTTTTATTTTTTAAAGTATGAAGTACCCTTTCAAACATCTTACAAAAAATATATGTTACTTTTGAAATGACTATTATCTTATGTAAAAAAAAATGGCGGTGGTGCAAAAAAAATTTCAATAAAAAAAATGTTTTTTTAAAAAAATTAAAAAAATTTTTTTTTTTTACTGACTTTATACTGACTTTTTTTGTTTGAATTTGGTCGACAATTTTTTTTATCAACTGTTTATATTGTATTGTACAAAAAAATTGTTTCATGAAAATCGGTTCAGCCATTTTGGAGAGAAAAAAAATTTTTGAATTTTTTTGAATTTTTCAAAAAAATTGTATAACTCAAAAGCAAAATTTTTTTTCGAGTTGAAACTTGGTGAAAATAAGTCTCATAATAGGTCAAAATTATTCTCTAAATATGGACCCAATCCAAGAGGGGGCACTTTTTACATGCTTATACTGCTACGGCCTTTTTAATAATTAAATTAAATTACTTTACTTATTGCATTTAACATTTTACGTAATTCTGAAATTACGTGGTAATTTTTTATTAATTTTTTATTCATAGTAAGAAGTATAATAGTATTTTAATAGGAACCAAATTATTATTGAGATTAAAGTTTAAATTTTGTTTATAATTTTAATTTGTTTAAATAATTTATTATTTACAAAGTTAGACAATTATGTTAAATTATTATGATTAAATTTATTAAAAATAAAAAATGAACAACTGAAAAGTAAAATATTAATTTTTTCAATAAATTTATATTTATGAACATTCATAAACTTTTTTTATAATTTTTGTCAAGTTTATGTCAAAAAAGCAATGTTGGCAAAGAGCGTTGTGAACAATTTTTCTATACTCAGCCAGCACTTGCCGCCGTGGCTTGTCAAAGCTTTAGCGATACAAAAATTCTGTACTGCGCCAGCACTAATTGTCGAGGCTCGGCTAGACTTCGCCGAACAATCGTCTGAGTACTAAGCCAGTGGTGAACATCGGCACTACACTGGCATTTCCCATTGGGAAGTAATCATGTAAAAATTTCGTTTTTTCTTTTAGGTTACTATTTTTTTCTATAGGATTAATGAATCTTGAAATTTTAATTCACCTATTAATATTTTTCAATAAATTTATTATAAACAATTGAGTGCCTGGAACGAATAACTGCCTGCTACGCATGGTTGAAAGGGACCATACCAGTCCTGCGTAGCAGGCAGTTATCCGTTCCAGATCCTCAATTGTTGTAACAAATTACATTTTAACAACAATTGAATATAATAAAAATAGTTTTTACTTTTAATATCCTTTTTGCTATGTCATTTCTATGTGACAGTAATGCGAATACCAGCAATTTACCTTCAGTTATTGTAAGTAAATAATTTGTTAACAAAAATTGTTTATACCTTTGTTAAAAATATTTAGAATTAAATTTGAGTTTCAAGATATATGAACCCCATAGAAAAAATAGGGTAAACCAGACAGTAGTCGGCCACTCTACAGTAGTCGGACACTTTTCAATTTTGTATAGCTATAAAACTGTTATGAATTTAGATTTAAAGTTCGACAGGTTATAAAAATGAACACAAGAAACACACGATTATATGAAACATAGGTGAAAAATGATTTTATTACACGACAAGAAGATCTCTCTACAAGCGTTATTGTACAAC